GTGAGGAATACCTCAGTAGAACTTCTGCTTCCAGCCATGATGGCATAATGGGGGCCAAATTTACCTTTTCTTGTAAATTAAATAGAACTGTATAAAACAATGGTTTTCAGACATTAGACAATAGGTGATACAGGACTGTGATCACAGATGAAAGAGAAATAAATGATGTGAACCCTATGATTTTACTAGCTTATTGCCTAGAGATAAGTTCCATGCCATAGTGTGGGAGTGGGAGGAGGGGTGGGGAACTTCAACTCCGAATGTCATGGTCTTGCTGAATTGAGGAGAAAAATAAACCCTGCATTTGGGAAGGCCAAAGCAGCTAGAATTTGCAGGGCAGAATACCATCAAGGAAGAAGCTGTACAAAGAGAGAAGCCTGGAGATCTACAGAGGGCCTCTTGAGTCATCCAGAGGATTGATCTGTACACACATAAGAGGAAGTTTATATAAGACCAGAGAAAGAACCACTGGAAAGATGTTGGCTAAATAATTCCTGGAGCACACATAGTTTGTGTTCCTGCCAGCTAGAGTGAAGGACTTTTTCATATATGGGGCATTGCTTTAGTAAATCAGGCTAAATTAGCTCTAGATGAAATAACAGTTGTCCTGACAAAGCATTGAGGTCACCCTGTAGAAGCAGGATACACACATCCTCCCCAAAATTTGGTTCAGATGTCATGACTGATTAGGCTACATGCACTCCAAGAGGATATGGAAATGTTATTACTCACATAATGAGGCTTTCTGGGGAGAAGGATGACCTCCCAAGCCAGTCTGAAAATGACTTCAGAGATTTGAGAAAGGACACTGACTTGAAGCTTATGGTTATACAAATAAATTGCCAATAAGCACAGGAAAAGATGCTCAACATCATTAGTCATTAGATAAATGCAAACCAAAACCAAAATGTGACATTGGTGGTGAGATATCATTTCATACCCTTTAGATCAGCTATTATCACAAAAAATGGAAGATAAGTGCTGGGGAGATTGTGGAGAAATTGAAACCCTTGTACTTTGCTGGGCAGGGATGTAAAATGGTACAGCTGCTATTGAAAACAGTTTGTTGGTTTTACAAAAAGCTACACCTAGAATTGGCATATGATCCAGCAATTCCATCCTAAGCATATACCCAAAGGAATTGAAAGCAGGGACTCAAACAGATAACTGTATGCCAGTGTTCATTGTATAGCCAAAAGGTGGAAGCAACCCAAGTTTCCATCAACAAATGAATGGATCTATGAACACAAACTGTGATCTATATGTACCAGGGACTATTATTCATCCATAAAAAGGGATGAAGTCTGATATATGCTACAACAAGGATGAACCTTAAAGACATTATGTTAAATGAAATAAGCTAGGTGCAAAAGGACAAATGTAAAATTTCCCTTATATAAGTTATCTGGAATAGACAAATTCATAGAGACTGAAATAGGATAGAGGTTATCAGGGGCTGAGTCGAGGGCAAATGGATAGTTATGCTTAATGAATATAAATTTTTTGTTTGGAGTAATGACAAAATTTTGTGGTGATGCGTTTTTTTGTTTTTGTGGGTTTTTCTTAGTCCTCACCTGAGGATATTTTTCCCATTGATTTTTTAGAGAGAGTGGAAGGGAGGGGGAGAGACAGAGAGAGGAAAACATTGATGTGAGAGAGACACCTCAATTGGTTGCTTCTCCAATGCACCCCAACCGGCCTGGGGATTGAGCCTTCAACTGAGGGACATGCCCTTGACTGGAATTGAACCTGAGACCCTTCAGTCTGTGGGCCGACATGCTAACCACTGAGCAAACTGGCCAGGGCTTCTGGTGATGTTTGTACAGCATTTGTGAATGAAATAAGTGCCACTGATTTGTATAATTAAAAATGGTTAAAATGGCAAATTTATGTTATATATTTTTATGACAATTTAAAAATAGTGTAATATACAATAACCACTGCACTATATACTTTAAATGGGTGAATTGTATGGTATATGAATTATATCTCAATAAAGCTGTTTTAAAAAAAACAAAAAAAACCATTATGTAATTAACCAAATAATTTAATGTTTAGAGGATGGTAGGAGGAAAAGGAGGGAGTAAGAGCTAAAAATCCTCAATTTTCAAATGTCTGATTCAATAAATAATACATGAAATTTATAACTAAAGAGCTGACAGTTATGTACTATATTATTTAGAAACAGGGGAAATGCCAGTAAATACTAACAGTGAAAGTGTTTCAAGTCGTTGCTGGGAGAGTGGGGAGAGTGAGGACGGCAAAGGGGGAGGCATGGGGGGGGTTCATACTATTTTACAGCTCAATGTATTATCACAAAGTAAACATCTAAGTAACCATCACCTGAGTCAAGGTATGGACATTGTCAGGCCCCAAAGCTCCTTCATGACTCCTCCACTTGCCACCCTAAACGCCTTGATGTTGATTAATCACTGTATTTTCCTATATAAAGGCACAACCTGAGCATGCATCTCTGAATATTAAGTTTAATCTTTTCTGTTGTTGTTTTTGAAATTTTTTATCAGCCCATCCGGTGTGGCTCAGTGGTTGAGCATCAACCTATGATCCAGGAGATCACGGTTCGATTCCTGGTCAGGGCACATGCCCAGGCTGTGGGCTCGATCCCCAGCAACGTCATGCAGGAGGCAGCCAATCAGTGATTCTCATCACTGATGTTTCTCTCTCTCCCTCTCCTTTCCTCTCTCTGAAATAAAAAAACCTTTTTATCGAAGAACTCATACAAAAAAGTTTATATACTGTAGGTGTATAGAACATGCTGAACATGCACAAAATGAGCACACCCATCTACCCAGCACCCAGATCAAGATACAGCACTTTACCAGCAGCCAGAAGCCCTTCCTTAAGCCCCCCTTCCAGTCATCACCTCCCCCAGGGATAATCCTAAACTGACTTTAACAGCAGAAATCAGTTTTACCTGTATTCGTACTTTTATAAATGGAAGAATATGATATGTATTATTTTGTGCCTGGCTCCTTTCACTCAGCATGATTTTGTGAGATTCTTGCAAGTTTTTGTGTGTAACTACAGTTTGTTCTTTTTCACTGCTATTTGCTAGCCCATGGAGTTAATAGAGCACAGTTGGTTTCTGTACTGTTGGGTTATTTTCAGTTTGGAATTATTAAAAATAGTGCTTCTTTGAACATGGTTGTTCATTCATGTTTTTTCCCGCAGACATTTCTGCTGAGTCTTTAGGGAAAGAACTGCTAAGTCCTTGGATATTTGTGTTCAACTTTTTAGTAAATAATGCCAAACCGTTTTCCAAAGTAGTTTTTCTGTTTATATTGTCACCAGCAGGGTGTGAGGATGCCTGTTGTTCCACATCTTTGCTACCACTTGGTATTGTTCATCTGTTACATTTTAGTTATCTTCACTATGAGTTTTATTTTGCATTTCCTTAGTGACTAATAAGGTTGACTGTCTTCTCATATTCTTATTGGCCCTTTGCACGTCCTTTCTTGCAAAGTTTCTATTCGAATGTCTTGCACACTTTTATTTTAGGGTGTCGGTCTCTGCACACAAACCCTTGGTCAAGGGTTAGACATTTCTCCCACCCCGTGGCTTGCCTTTTCACTCTGCTTCGCAGTAAATTATGATAAGCCTAAGTTATTAATTTCAATGTAATTTAACTTCTCAATCTTGTCCTTTGTTGTTAATGCTTTTTATGTCCAGTGTCCCTATGTTGAGGTCACAAATACTATTTTCCTACACTACCTTCTAGGAGTTTTATTATTTTGCCTTTTGTGTTTGGATCAATAACATATTCAATTTACTTTTGTGTGTTGTTTTCTGTGTGGTGTGAGCTAAGGGTCAATACTCTTTTTCTCTCTCCCCCGAAATGGATACCCAGTTGTCCCAGTTAGCCTTTATAAGCTCATCTTTGTTCTCTTTGCCTCACATCCGTCTCTCATTCCTAACTACTGGCTGGGTTGACCTACAGACTTAAGACCCAACCCCAGATGCACAGGTAACAAACAGCTTTGCATAGATTTTTTTCCCCACTGGTTTCTACATATGCATAAGGACTAATCCCTATCATAAATTTCTCATTTTATATTATTCATAATGGATCTGCTTGTTTGATCAAATGCTGACTGATACAATACTCTTAAAGTGGAAGACTCACTCTACCAGATATTGAGACTTGTTTTAAAGTTGCTGTAACTGAGACATTGTGGTATCGATACTATGATAAACAAATAGTCCAAATAAATGGAACAGAATTTGAAAATAGACCCACACATATATGGACACGATTTATAACATAGGGGGCACTATAGTCTCTCTTTCTCCCAATTTCAAGTTCCCATGGAAGGTACTTAGATCTGGCTCTGGCCCACCCTCATGGATCGGGAGAGGAAAGTGCCAAAGATGGAGGGTCTGTAGTAAGCCAAGCAGTTGGCACTAGTTTCCTTTTTGTTGTTTTTAAGGTTTTTAAAATTCTTTTTAAGACTTGATTTTCCCCTTCCACTAAAAAATTAGTTTAACAACAATGACAACAAAAATCAGAAGACCTTATCTGAAAAATCTTTATACGCTTTCTCTCAATATTTCCAAACAAGTTACTATTTATCCTATAAATGGCATCAGCCTCTTGAAAAAACAAATTTAAACCTTTCAAAGAGAGATTGGGAACATAACCACCGTCACACTCCATGCTGGGGTTAACTCTGAACTCGATGCCTTTGTGTTCTGTGGGCTTTTAGCATAGAATATGGTAAGGTGCCTCTGTCTTCCTGAGATGAGACAAAGCTGGAGGCCAACGGGAACTACTCACCTTGAGCAGCTGGAGCTAGAGCAAGAGACCCCTTACCACCCAAGAGCCTCCTGGATCCCATCCCTCACTCCCTCCCATGTGAAAGAGGAAGGACACTCACACCTGGTTCCATGCCCAAAATATTTATTAGCACATGCTTGTGCCTGGATGACTAGGAGGGGGACTTTGTGAGACTTTGATAGGTGCCCCTGGGGAACTGACCGGGTCACCAGAGCCACAGGATGAGGGTTGAGAAGGTGGCAGTAGCCATGAAGCCTAGAACAAGGTGTGGGGAGGCTTTGGGGGGATTCTGGAGAATATGACTGCTTAGCCACTTGGTCATGTTCAGATGTGTGGCCAGGTGTTCACGCTGAGGCTGAGACAGTAGGTGGGAGTGGCAAGACCTGCCCACCTGCCTGTCTGGAAACTCATCCTCTGCAGGGTTCTGACCATTGTTTTCATCTCTCACCTGGGGGTGGGAGTCAGGAGTCAGCGACTCTCCCAGCACACCCCTCACCTGCAAACCATCCTTTTTCCCAACCCAGCATAATACCTGTTCCACTTGTCTGAAGACCCGTAGCAGATTTCCACGAAGGACACCCTGAAGCTCTTCCTCACTCCAGCCATGCCTCAGTAACTCTTCTATCAGAACGGGGTATGTGGATACATTCTCCAGCTCCTGAGGAAACCTGTGTAGACACCAGCCAGCCACATGTGGGACCACGGCCCTGATCCTAAGCTAGGTCCACTGTTCCAACAGCCCCATTCACATATGGGAAATTGAAGGTCATGTTCTTCAGGCTACTAAATGCAACTTTTGAAATTCCTTGAAGACTGGGCTTCTGCAGCACCTACCCACTGAGCAGATGATCAGCCCACAACAGACCAGCTGGGTTGGGAGTGAAGCTTGGCAGGGCAGATGAGCTCTGCATGGGGGAGGGGAGTACTTAACGAAGGTGATGATTTGGAGTGGCAGTGGGTCCAGTGGGCCACACAGAAGGGACAGGGAAAGACCAGGAAACAGACCCTGGGAGTGGGGAAATGTCAGATTGGCTGGAAAACAAGAGCCTATCATTGAGGCTTGAAAGATGGGAGGACCACAGGATGGGGAACTATAACTCCTTGCTATACCCCAGCCCAAGAAAAACGCCAGGGAAACACTCACCTGCCAGACCCGTCATAATTTCCGCCAATCCCAATGAACTCAGGTCCAATAACTGCCCTGATGTGGTCAAAGTGATCTAGAGGGTGGAGATTAGTGGTGGAAGCACTGGGCTGGAGTTAGACCCCTGGACCAGCCCTGGTCTGGTGAAGCTCATCCCTGGCCAATTCCTCTGCCCATAGTACTCCAGGCCATGGCAGCTGACTCCACGGAGCTCCTGGCCAATTATGAGTTTTAAAGTGGTTACAGGCTGCACACTGGACCTAGAGTGAACCTTAGAGCCACCCCTTTGGACCTTTTCCTGCCCAGGAACCACCCTGCCTCTGGGTTCTTTGAGAGCCTGGTCGGGGCTCTGCCTGCCTGTCCTTTCCAGAGACATGGGAGTAAAAGTGAGACTCAGAAGCAGAGGCAGGTGCCTGACCAAACCCATCAACATTGATTTCGGGCCCAGATCTGGGTGGCAGTGAAGGGCTGAATCTACTCCCTTGGGTTGTTGGGAGGCCTGCCCATTGCTCAACCCTGGTGGCCACAAGCCCAAGCTAGAACTGCACATGAAGTTGAGATGGGGCTCACCTGCAACAGTGGACACATTAGCAAACAGATTGCACTGTAAAATCCCCATGGACAGCGTCACCATCACAATGCCACCATTCTTTTTCTACAGGGATAAACAAATGGATACTCAGCTTGGCCCTTCTGGCCTGATGGCCTGCCTCCTGTGCCCTGGAGGGCCCCGGTAGGAAAGTGCTCCATCCTGGCTTCAGGGATTGGAAGACACTTTGTCTCCTCTGGGTTTATGGGTCCCTGGTGGACCTGATTTGGACTTCAGTTTCAGAGAGCAGGAGGGTTAACCAGCCTTGGCTCCAAAAGTGAGGCCTGGGCTGGTAGCTTTGTTCAGGGTCAAAAAGCTTTGTATGGCCCTGGCTGGTGTGGCTCAGTGATTATAGCATCAGCCTGTGCACTGAAGGGTTTTGGGTTCTATTTCCAGTCAAGGGCACGTACCTGGGTTACAGGTTCCGTCCCCAGCCCCAGTTGGGGTGCATGCATTAGGCAACCAATGGATGTGTGAGTCTTTCTCTCCCTCCCTTCCTCTCTCTCTAAAAATCAATGGAAAAAAATATCCTTGGGTGAGGATTTAAAAAAAAAGAATCTTTGTATGAAGCACACTTAGCCCTGGGTTTGAGGGCTGGGGTAACCACTCACAAGAAGTTGCAGGATGTCGTCTGGAACGTTCAGCAAATTGTCGCACACAGCTCTGGCAGCTGAGTGGGAGAAGATCACAGGAGACTTCGATACGTTCAGCACTTGTTGCACCAAGGCATATGACGCATGGGATAAGTCCACCATCATGCCCAGGCGGTTCATTTCCCTTACCACCTTCTGCAGGGACAGTATTTTTATTTGTGTGCGTGTGTGTGAAGGATGCACATGTTCGTAGGGAATGAGTGGGTTAGGATAGGGAACAGGAGTCCTCACCTCACCGAAACTTGTCAACCCACTGACATTGGTGTAGAAGTGGTGCTTAAACTTGGTGGAACTCTCTGCCCTGCAGAACAGCCAGGGGAGGGCAATCTAGTGGGCCACACCTTGGCCATCGGAGGCTGGGGACTCTGCAGTCCCTCTCTTTGTTCACCCATCCCACCTCTAGAACAGGGTAGGGACTTATACCAGCTGCTACCTGGGAGCGAGAGAGACCTGCTGGCAGTCCAGCCTCCCTCTCTGGACACCTCGATCTTCACCTCTCTGGCAGTTTCCCTGCCATGTGGTCCACATTTCACTGCACTCACCAGGGCGTGCTGCAGGTGGAGGTGAGTGTCAGGTAGCGCACTCCCAGCAGATAGAAACTACGCAGTACAGAGAGGCTGCTGTCCAGTGAGTGGCCACCCTCCACGCCAATGAGGCAGGCTAGCTTTTGAGTGCTGTTCAGCCCTAAAAGAGGGTGGATAATAAAATGGTCAGGGACCAGGGCCAGAAGCACCAGAGTAAGCCCCTGATTATGCCCCCATTCCACAGCCCACCTTTGGCTGAGGTCACAAGCTCCAGTTCAGCGTAGGAAGCACACATGCGACGAATAAGGTCAATCTGCTCCAGTGTGAGGCGCACGGCATCCTGCTCCTGGGTCTGGCAAGGGGTGTGCGTTGACCAGAACTAGGGGTAGGCCCAGGGGTCCATAATGAGACCAGGCCTTGGCCTGCCACTCCTTCTCAGCCCCAAGGTACTCATTGGAGTCAGTGGCCCAAGTGAGGCACTACATGACCCCATGGCACCTTGATAACTATTCAGCTTGCTGCCAGCAGACAAACTGTGGACTCATGAAACATCATCCTTTCATACTGTATGTCCATGTGTTATGTGAATGCCCAAAGGCCAATCCATCATGTCCTTTGGTGGTCCCAGAACATCCCACAATCACCAGGGATTTTCTGGTCACTTTCTATGTGTCTCCACAGAACCTAGGAACCCACGTGGCCAGCCTGTCTTAGTCTCCAATGTCCCCACACTCCCCAGGAGCCACATGATGACACATGTCCTCTGATACCCAGTCATACAGTGGACTGCCTACCCAGGTTTCTGTGGCCTCCACATTCCCCAGCAGCCATGCTGTGACACCCTGTGTGTCCCTGTGGTACCTGGGCACCCACAAGGCCATCCATAAGTTTGTCCAGGCTGGTCTGGCCACGACTGAAGTTATGCAGGTTAACATCTTGTAGCCTGTTGTGGAAAAGGTGTCTCAGGAGCAGGGGCAGATGGTTGTGGCTGGGGGTGTCAAGACAAAGGTTAGAGTAGAGATATGGCCTCCAGGTCAGGCAGAACATGTCATCATGCCAGGGCCTGTCCTGTCCCACACCACCTTCCCACCTCACACAAACAATGGGACACCTCCAGAAGCTCAGCTTGGGGGTGGGGAATTCCACCAGAAATGGGATAATAGGGAGAAGGGGGCCCATGAGTGATGGTGGAGAGTGTATCCAAGGGTGGTGTGAGGGAGCTTCCTCACTAGCCCTGCATGCTCAGGACCCGCTCCCTGCCTAGCGATGAGTTGGGGCCCCACCGGCCCCCACACCGCATCTACACACCCATCCACCAGCGGGAAGTCCCGCATCAACGCCTGCGCCCGCTCCCGCAGTCTCCGGGCTCTGGGGGTGCCTGGCGTGGTCAGGGCACTTGGCAAACTGGGCACGGTTGTGGCGCTGGTACTTCCCTGCGATGTTGGGGCGCTGGGGGTTCCCGTCATGGTCTGGGTGCAGGTTATTGGCTGCAGCAGCAGCAACAGCAAGAGCAGCAGACGCAGCAGAGGCCGCTGGCCAAGCACACGAGGACACTCGAGGCCCCTGAGCCGCATGCTGCACAGGTCCGGGCAGGCGGGCAGGGGCTGGTCTCGAGAGCCTGAGAGAGGCAGAGGGCGACGATGGGGTCCCAACCGTCGACTTGGGTGACCCAACAGCCCGGCCTCGTGAGGTGGAGTCAAGACCTTAGGAAGACGCCCAGGAGTACGTAATGCCGTCGGGCTGCGCGGTCGCTAGGGGGCGGCACGGCCCTCCCACCCCGAACTGGGAGAGCACCCCAATGGGCCAGGCAGGCCTCTGACGCGGGCGCCCTCTGGCGACGTATCTTGGGCTCCCTCCTCCCCGGATCCCTCTATTGCGGGTCCTGGCGGTGACCAACAGACTAAGGGAGTGGGCCAGTTGGGGAACTGCGAGGGGCCAGGAATGTTCCTAATCTCACACCTAGTCAGACAAGTCGCAGGTTCCTGTGAGGTTTTAGTTGCAGGGATGTGCCTCACCCTCCAACACCTCAACTATTCCATGAAATTCTTAAGTCCCCACTCAGAATAGTGAATTAGATCTGTTTTGACTGACAGAAAAATGATTCCCTGTATATACGTAATAAAAATGGAATTTAAGCCCAGCCAGCATGGCTCAGCAGTTGAACATTGACCTATGATCTAGGAGATTGTGGTTCAATTCCCAGTCAGGGCACATGCCCGGGATGTGGGCTCAATCCCCAGTTGGGGGTGTGCAGGTGGCAGCTGATCAATGACTCTCATCATTGATGTTTCTCTCTCTTTCCCTCTCCGTTCCTCTCTCTGAAATCAATAAAAATTTGTGGGAGACCATTTCGTTTTAGCATCTAATACTGAAATTTGCTTCTGTACATATGTTAACAATATGCACAAAAAACTCCAGAAGAGTATATGTATTAAAGGGCAGTTAATAGTAGTCATCTTGGGAAGGAGTTTACCAACTCCATGGTCAATTATATATTATCTTTTTTCATAATATAATTATCCTGACTGAGGGTAGTGCTGGTGAGGGCTGTTCAGGGTGGTAAGGCATTAGTGGAAGCACCACAGCAGTGGCTGAGCTTTGAAAGGATGGGGCCTGGATCAGGCTAGGGGAGTGGAGAGGGCATCCCAGGTTGGCCAGTGGCCTAGGATGACTATGGTTTGGGCAGGATGACTATGCTGTGGGGGAGGAAATGGAAGACCCTAGAAAGCATGGGGTAAAATTGCTCTGTCATGGGATATGCCTAGACTATTAGTATTAATTATTATTATTATTTTTTAATAAATATATCTTTATTGATTTCAGAGAGAGGAAAGGAGAGGGAGAGAGAGAGATAGAAACATCAATGATAAGAGAGTCATCGATCAGCTGTCTCCTGCACAACCCTGACTGGAGATCAAACCCACAACCCGGGCATGTGCCCTGACCGGGAATACAAACCCTGATAGCCTGGATCTTAGGTAGACGCTCAACCGCTGAGCCACGCCCAACCGGGCAGTATTAATTTTTTTATTAGCCATTATTTATTATCATGTTTATTATTAGCTGTGATTATTAACTCTTAATGTAGTAACTCTTAATTTGCCTATTATTAGTGCAGTTGCTATTACTATTAATGGCCTGGGGGTAAGATGGATGTTTCTCTTTAAGTAGCCTGTGCCTCTTAGAGAGCATGCCCCTGGGGGACAGGGGATGGTGGTCCCATATCCAGGGCAGTCCAGCCATTGGTGGCCCATGCCCTTTATGTGGCCTGACATTCTGGGTTCTGTCCAAATAGGAACAAAGGTCATTTGTGATCCAGGCAGGTTCCCTACTTGGGAATGTGAACTAAAATTCTCTGAAAGATTCTCAGGTAGTGGTCAGTGGGTCAGGATGGCAATTGAGGTAAGCTACCCAGAGGGAATCCAGAGTAGGGTCCACCCTCATGCAGCCAGAGCCACCCACTGCCTTTTCCAGTGCTGATCCTGATCACTTGGGTTTCCTCAGGCCGCTATCAGCAGGTCTTACTTGAGTAAGTGGTGGCTGAACTGCAGGGTCCCTTACCAACCACCAGCATTGGGAGCCTCCGCCATCAGACCCACCACAGAGGACACTCATACCTGGTTCCAGTCAAAAATATTTATTTTCAGGAAATGTTTGTGCCTGCACAAAGGGGAAACTTTGTGGAGTGTCCATAGCTGCCAAAGTGACATTGGACAGGATGAACTGGGTCACCAGAGCCACAGGAGGACGACTGGGAAGGCAGAAATAATTGCGAGGCTTGGGGCCATGGGGGGGGATGATTTTGAGAATGACTTCTTAAGTGACAACTTGGTTGTCCAATGCATAGGAGCCTCGGTTCGTTTCTGGTCTGGAGCGAGATACTCTGTATGATGCAGCCGAGGGAGGAAGGAGCGGCAAGAGCTGTGCAGCTGCTCCTCCGGGAACTCATCCTCTAAGGGCCTTTGCCCCTTGTTTTCCTCCCGTACCTGGAGGCAGCAGTTGGCGGTCAGCAGCTCCCCCAGCTTCCCCCAACACACCTGCTCAGACTCCCGAACTACTCTTTTGCCCAGCCCAGCGTACCTGTTCCACCTGTCTGAAGACTCGCAACAGGTTTCCTCGAAGGACACCCTGGAGCTCTTCCTCATTCCAGCCACGACTCAGCAACTCCTCTATCAGTACTGGGTATGTGGATACATCTTCCAGCCCCTGAGGGAAACTGTATGGCCGCCAGGCAACCAACTGTTGGGCCCCAGACCTGTTCCTTGGTCCTGACTCAGAACCATAGGCCTAGGGTCTACTAAACCCTAGCCCTGGTCAGATACAGGAAATGGAGACTGGGAGAGGGTAAATGATTCACTCCTACTCTTCGTCTTTCAGAACCAAAACTTCCTTGAATATTCGTCAAAACTCCTTTGATTTGTATTAAGATATATGCTTTTCACTGAATGCAATTTTTCCTCTATATATAAAAAGAAGAAAAGCTTTTTAGGAACTGGGTTGAACACCTGCATGCACAGACCCAGCTGCAAGTAGAAAAGATGGTCAACCAGTACCAGACCTTGCTAAAAGTCTGCTCAGAGGCAGTGGGTCTGCTGGCACTGGGGGTGGGTGCACATGCTGGGCAAGATGAGCTCTGTCTGATGGCTTAGCCAAATATGATGATCTAGAGTGGGGCCAGTGGGCCACATACAGAAAGGAAAGTCCAGGAAACAGACCCAGGGAGGGGAGATGCCAGATGGGCCAGCAGACCTGAGGTTGTGGTCAAGGCCTAAAGGCCATGAGGACCATGCTATGGTGGGCATGGAGACTGTGAAGGCCCCACTGCTGCGCAGCTAGTCCCTCACAAGCCACAGGGAAGTACTCACCGGTTGGTCCCATCATAATCTCCACCAATGCCGATAAAGCTGGATCCAATGACTGCCCTGATGTGGTCAAAGTGATCTGGGGGATGGAAAGTCAGCAAATGTGGGGCTTCCAGGACAAGGGGGTGGAGAAATGGACTCTGCTGATTCCCCTTCTTGCAGCCTATAGGCCATGGGGGCCAATTACTTCATGTCTTGGCACCTAGTGTGCCAACTTGAGAGCCCTGAGTTTTGACCTGATGTAATTTCAGCTGTCTCTAGATTGTACTTCAGATTTGGAGTAGATCCCAGAGTGACCAGTTTGGGCCATTTCACATCAGGATTCATCCTGCCTCAAGTCTCCTTGAGAACCCAAGGGTGCTCCTTTCCATGTGTGTGAAAGATGAAAGAGGGACAAAGAGTATAACTGACAAAGACTACAGAGACCTAAGGGCCTGCCCAGTCCCTTGGCCAGAGCCAGGGGCAGGGCGGTTTGGGAGCCCCTTTATGTCTGACTGCCTCCCTTATACTCATCAGTATCACACTATCCACTCTGTGGCTCTAGTTCTACATGGCACCAAGGTGCTGTGTACTGTCCATTTGAGGGTTTTGGGGGGCTATGCCTAATGCCAATGGGTGGGTCAAATGTGTTGGCTGTTCTGGGTTCCCCAACAAAGCTTCAGGTCCAAATCAGAGCTGTTTAGAGAGCTCAGGGTGGGGCTTACCTGCCACAGTGGACACATTGGCTAGCAGGTTGCACTGCAGCACCCCCATGGACAAGGACACCATCACGATGCCACCATTCTTCTTCTGCATGAGTGGACAAAGGGACACTCAGCTTGCCCCCCTCCCCCCCGCACCCAGCACAAAGATCTGCCTGTTCACGCACTGGGCCCCTTTGAAGTAGGTGTTCAGCCCTGGCTTTGAGGTCAGAGGAGACTTCATCTCTCTGGTTTGTGTGAATGGATGAGTCTCAGCCCTGGTTTGGGTGGTGTCTTGGCACTGGGTTTGAAGATTTAGAGGAGTGTTTACCACCTAGAAACCTATGATGGGTTCAGGAGTTCAGGGCTGAGTTTGTGGGGCCGATGTTCAGCCTGGGGTTTGAGGAAGTTGAGGGAGCTGGGGCTCAGGTTCAAGGGCTCCTGGTTCGAACCTCTTGCTTTTAGGTTCAAGGGCCAGGGCAGTCACTCACCAGAAGCTGCAGGATATCATCAGGAACATTCCGTTCATTATTGCACACACCCCGGGCAGCTGAGTGGGAGAAGATCACAGGTGCTTGTGACACTTCCAGGGCCCGTCGTGCCACAGCATCTGAGACATGGGACAAGTCTACCATCATGCCCAGGCGGTTCATTTCCATCACCACTTTCTGCAGGGAAAGGTTGGGGAGAAGGCATGTATGTACATTTATTTGTAGGGAACAGGTGGGGTGTGTATATGCATGTGGGGCAGAGTATGGAATCAGGGTTCTCACCTCACCAAAGCTGGTCAGCCCGCTGACATTGTTGTAGAAAGGGTGGATGCCCTTAGCTGAGCTCTCTGCCCTGTAGGATGGCCAGGAAGCAGTCTAACTGGTGGCCATAATTTGGCCACTAGAGCCTAGAGGCCCTACTGAACCCTCTATCCTTATATCCCCCTCTAGAGCAAGAGCAGGAACCCAAGCTGGGCTGTCCCTGGCGGTAGGAAGACCCTGCTGGGGGTCCAGTTTTGCTCTGTGAACGCAGCTCCCCTCCCCACTCCAGGGACAGTGCCAGATCCCAGGGGTAAAGTGTGGTCTGAGTCCCAGTGGGATCTTGGGCCAGATCTCTGCCTCAGTGGGCCCATACCATCCGCACTGTGCTCACCAGGGTGTGTTGCAGGTGTGGGTGAGTGTCAAGTAGCGCACACCCAGCATATAGAAGGTACGCAAGACGGAGAGGCTACTGTCCAGTGAGTGGCCGCCCTCCACACCAATGAGGCAGGCCAACTTCCGGGTACTGTTCAGAGCTGGGGGCAGGTAGGTCAGGGGATCACTTTCAGGGGCTGGGGTAGCTCATTCAAGTCCCTAACACCACCCCCACCAGCCTTCCTACCTTTAACCGAGGTCACAAGCTCCAGCTCAGAATAGGAGGTACACATACGGTGGATGAGGTCAATTTGCTCCAGGGTGAGGCGCAGGGCATCCCGTTCCTGGGTCTGGCATGGGACGTAGGCTGACCAGAACTGGGAGAAAGCCAGGGATTGGCTTCGGCGGGGGCTGCTTTCGGGTGCCTCCTTTCATAGCCTCCACAGCCCACACAGCACCCGGTGGGCCCAGAGATCACATGTAATGAACTGCTTGTTCCATGGTACTTGGATGCCCACCAAGCTGGTTCACCATGGCACCTGCAGCCCCCAGCATCCATATTATGGCACTTTTTGGGTCACTAAGGTAACTGAGTTCCCATGCAACTAACTTATTGTGATCTCTAGGGCCCCATATTCTCCCACATTCCCCAGCAGCCAGTGGCACCTTGAGTGTGCCTGTGGTACCTGTGCACCCACGAGACCGTCTCTAAGCCTGTCCAGGTTGGTCTGGCCATGACTGAAGTTGTGCAGGTTAACATCCTGTAGCCGGTTGTAGTAAAACAGTCTCAGGACCAGAGGCATGTCGTTGTGGCTGGAAGATGGGGTCAGGTGAGGGGCAAATGGGTGGACTCCTTTAGGACTGAGGATCAGGCAGGACTTGTTGCCAGGCCTGGGCCAGCCCAGGCATTCCCCACCCCACACTGTCACAGACTGTATACTAGGACCCTCTGAAGCCTGGGCTAGGGCATCCCCAACAGGTAGGGGTGACAGAGGAGGGGAAAGGGCTTCCATGAATGATGGGAAAGGACGTCCAGGGGTGGTGTGAGGGAACCTCCTCACCAGCCCTGCATGCTCAGGAGCCCCTCCCCAGCCTAGGGGTGAGCTCAGCCCCCACTGCCCCCCAACCCCCACCGCACCTACGCACCCGTCCACGAGTGGGAAGTCCTGCATCAGGGACCGAGCAAGCTTCTGCAGATTCTGGGCGCTGGGGGTTCCAGGTGAGATGGGGGCACTAGATGTGCCTGGCGCAATAGAGTCGCTAGGGGCTTCCGGCCTAGTCGTGGCACTGGGGGTGCCGGATGTGGGAAGGGCGCTGGGGGTGCCCAGCGCTGTCGGGGCGCTGGGGGTGGCTGGCGTGGTCTGGGCACGGGTTACCGGCTGTGGCAGCAGCAGCAGCAGCAGCAGGAGCAGCAGACGCAGCAGAGGCTGCCGAGGAAGCATGCGGGGACACTCGAGGCCCGCGGGCAACATGCTGCGCAGGTCCGGGCAGGCGGGCAGGGTCCGGTCTCGAGAGCCTGAGAGAGGCAGAGGGCGACGGTGGGGTCCCAACCGTCGACTCTAGCGACTCAGCAGCGCGGCCTCGCGAGACGGGGATGAAGTCACAGGACCTTGCCACGGGTGAGCAGAGAGCTGCGATGCCGGAGTGCTGCCGCCAGGGGGCGGCACCGTCCTCCCGCCTCCAGCACCGAGGGTGCCTCCGTTGGCTGGGCTGGCCTCCCCAGGGCGCGTCCTCTAGCCTCCCAGGGCAGGCTCCCCTCCCTGCCCCTCTCCCCACACCCACTGCTCCAACAGGACGAGCCAAGTTTCTTTCCTCCTGACCCGGGCCTTGCTCTCAAGAGAAAAGGCCTGGAGTGCTTCTGCCAGAGAGTGGCCCTCGGCCCTGTGACCTCTCCCAACCATATCATATCCTGTCTGTCCTGGACATCCCTTGGACCACACGCAGGTGTCCTTACGGTCACAGTGTTCTGGGCTCCCAGTTTTCCTGTGCTGGGCCAGTGGGTTGAGTGTGGGGGAGGAGATAGTCTTTGGAAATGAGGGATTAACTTTATGGACTCTGGATTCAGGTAGGGGCCCCCTGCCCCTGACCTTTTCCTTCCCTACCTTACTCCCCAGCCTACCTGTCCACCCCCAGGAACTCCAGCCAGGAATTGCGAACTGTCAGGAGACCCCCTGTCCCATTTTCCCCAGTCAGCCTCAGGAAAGAGCTCTCTCCTTAGGATTTGCTACACCTGCCTAGGGTGTGAAAGGAGGGACTTTGGGGATGTAAACTGGGCAACCATCTGGAGAGAGTCGGGGAGCATTTACTCAACAGAGCAGAAACGCAGATAGTTGGCTATTTGACTGGAAGGAAATGAGTCATTTCCAGAGCAGCAAAGCCCCCATTCCCGGCAACATTTCTCCCAGAGCTGCAGGCTGACCTGCTGGCCAGAACCCCTCCTACCTCAGTGTGGAAGCTCCTGTCTTGTTGAAGTCAGAAGTATGGGTCCTAAGGAAAGGCCTGGCACTTGTTTTTTGTGGCTACAACCTCTTTATCCTGTGGCTGTTCTGGCTCTAACTCTCCCAGAAACATTGATAGCTAAGTTCCAGTCTTTGCTCAGCAGGCCCCACCCCATTCCTAGCCTCAAGCCCTCATCTTAGCTGTCTCTTCCAAGAACCCTCACCCACATACCCACACCCTCACACACACATACACAGGGGATGTGCGTTATCACAAAAGCTGAGAGGCTTCTGGGTCTGTGCCCAAACTCCTTCATTCCATCTCTAAAGTTTCTACTCTGAACCTTGGCACCCCCTGGAGTTGCTCCATGTTTGTAACCTTTCCTGGGTGATAGGAGTGACCTGTGCAGGGATAGTGACCTAAGTCTGAGGACAGGAGACCCTAGAAACCTCCACAAAAATGAAGTGAGTAAAACTCTTCCAGAGGGATTAGAGGTCCTTGGCTATCCAGGTGGAGAAGGGTTCCTAGCTTGGGTATAATTGAGGGATTGTGCACTTGATATCTCCCAGTGCCTGTTGGCCAGGAGGAAGGGCAAACCAAAGGTGCTGTACTGGAGGTGAGTCTACTCCCTGCCTACCACAGCTTGAGGCTTCTCTAGGCAGCTCCACTGTAAAATGTGAGTCCCCTAAGGCTCTGCCCTAGGTGACTTGTGCACCCAAACTCAGACCAGGCTCCCTTCCCTCCCCCAACTTATTGCTGGTCAGCAGCCCCCACACCCACTCTTGCAACTGAATGGGGGAGAAACTCTTGGATCTGCTGTTCTCCACGCCAAAAATGTGAGTTTTGGGGGAAAATAGCTTCTCTGTTCCACTCTTTTTTTTCTTTTTTTTAATCCTCACCCGAGGGCATTTCCATTGCTTTTCAGAGAGAGTGGAAGGAGAGAGAGAGAGACATAGATGTGAGAGAGACACATCGATTGGCTGCCTCCCACATGTGCCCCAACCGGGGCTGGGGATCGAGCCTGCAGCTGAGGTAGATACCTCGTGCCTTTGGCTGGAATTGAACCTGGGACCCTTCAGTCCGAGGGCTGACTCTCTAACCACTGAGCCAAACCGGCCAGGACATGTTCCACTCTTGATAGGTGGGGGCTGTAAAGAATGGGGAAGAGGAGGGCAGGAGATTCAGACAAATAGCAGCTGCTGATAAAGGAATGAGAAGGGAGAATTTAGCTTTTTGAGGGTTTTTAGTTTTCCTTCAGGGACCAAATGTCTAACATCCCAGGACTCGGGGGAAACTCTAATCCAACAGAGAGAGACTGTGTTGAACCAGAGGAGGTGGGCACCATCTTTGAAGATTAGCCAGGCACCAGATTTTCTATAACATTCAAGTTCAGTCCTTAGGAAGGCTGGCTCTGCTGGCCATGGTCTTGAGGTGAACATACACCCAGCCCTTTTATACTCAGGGGCATGTGAGCACACTCACCCGTGTGGCGAGCAGATTTTAGCCAACAGGGTTGCCTGTCCTCCCCTTAACCTCACCGAGGACATCTCTGTGCCCTGACCTGTGCAGGGGGAAACAAGCACACACTAGTCAAGCCTTGTCCTCTAGGAGCTTCTAGTGTCAGTGGACAGACTTGGACACAGGGACAATTTAGGGGCAGAGACTATGACAAAAGTTACCCAGGCGCTGACAGTGGACAGAAGTGGCAGGGAAGCCAACATCCGAAGAGGAAGGAGACGGTGGTAGAAACAGGCCTCTCCTGAGACCAAGCTGACTCTGGGGGCAGAGCCAGCCCACCCCCACTAATCTTCAGCGTATGGTAAGAATATGCAGGGGAGGGAGAAGTCAGCCTAAGTGACAGCCACACGAGCTACCTCACGTGTTCAGAATGCAGGGGTGGGGTGGAGATAGGGGCTTCCGCAACGTCCAGTGTTGCCTAGGTGATGGTCTTCCACATGCAGGGCTCCTTGATCCTGGAGATTCATGTGCCCCTGCTGCTTTCTCGATATTGCTCTGGTTCTGCTCCCATGGTGACTGACATAGTCAGATTCTCAAGAAACAACAACTTCTTCCCCCATAGGAATACATCCTCCAATCACAAAGCTGAGGCTACCCTTCCTGAAGTGGCAAACAGTTTGCAGATTTTCCTTCCTCAAAAGGCTGCAATCATTGCTCTTGCTAGAAGTGCATAACCATGAAGCCATCTCATTTTCACTCAGCCTTCCCCCTAATCCCCACCCTTCTCTTTAATATCCTTGCCAGCATCTCCACCCAAACTCCCAAGGCTGCTTTTTGATGGAGATGGATGATGATCGGGTCCTCTTGCAGCCAGGCTCTGCTTGATCTCAGGCAGTACAGAGGACCAGCACACAAGGTCCCCAGAACAGAGTTGCAAGTGGTGTCTGACGGATTTGACATGTCTGACTGGGCTGCTTCTGGAGACTAGATGTTCTGGTGACTTTGGTGTTAAGCCCGCAGGGCTTGGGGCTGTTGTTCTGAGGTTGGTTTGCATGCTGTCCCTTGCCCATCAATTGGGGGCAGGCTAGAGGGCCCTGAGGTACAGGAGCTTGTTCCACGAAGGCCCTCCAGGGAGTCCCTGGGATTCAAGCTTTGCTCCCCCTTCTGTGTGCTTATGTCAGCATGTGTGATAGGTAACTGAAGATTTGTCAAGCCCCCTTACTGCACACCCCAGCAAAGTGTCAGCACCGGTGGGTGATCAGTAAAGGATATCTGGAAAAATGGATGAATGTAGGTGATTCAAGGCCTCTCCTGGTGAGAGAGGCAGAAGCTGGAAGTGGAGAAGTCCAAGGAATCCCTGTCTGATTTGGCCAGGAGAGCATCAGCTTCTTGCCACCATGCTCCAATTGCCAAATTTTGGGGCTGGAGCAAGTGAAATCTTCGTCCAACTCTTCCAGAGGTCGACGTCTCCTGAGTAGTCATCTGGGGACTGGCTTCTCTGCCTCCACCTTTGCTGGGTGGCCAAAGGAGCATACTTATAGGCCCAATAGCCACCAACCAGGCAGTATGTCTCCCCATGCCAGACCATCTGGGTTTCTCCCCACCTTCAGTAGGTGACATGGTAGTGACCATGTGTAGGAGGAAAGGTGGGAGCCAGTGCTGCTGGTCAGTCACCTTGTGCTGTACACTGTCCTGTCAGGACACTGGTCAACCACTGAGCCACACCGGCCAGGCAACGACTTTTGCTTAGAGACCCACCAGTAAAGCAGTAAAGGGCCTAAATGGAAGTATCTTGTAGCCCAACGGGAAAGGTTACATTGATGATGATAACCTTTCTGAACACTTGCCCAGGAATGATGTTGCACTTGTCCTCAGCAGTGAGCAGGAACACTGTGGGTCTCTGAGGGGGCCCTAGGCCACTGGTGTTACATATAGCTAGGGTAGTTCTCAGGTGTGATGGACAAGCCTAAAAAGATCATGTGGCAGCCAGGTGAGGTTGCGTGTACACCGGTGCGTCCCATGCAGATGCCCAGCCCAGGCCTACCTGCTGTGCTGCACTCCCAGAGGACAGGATAAGTTACACTGAATGTATAAGAGCTGGCAAATCCTCTCTCAGGCAACCAAACAGATTGGTGTCTGGTAGAGTACTGGTAGGAAAGGTTTCCCTGGAATACCACATTTCTGTAGTTACCCTGCCATGGAAACTGTGAGGCATCACTATCCAGGGTGCCCTGCCTGTGCCCTCATTCCTGGCCCTCCCCATGCATGCATAGTCAAGTAGCCACTCCGTGTGGAGCATACCTGTGGACTGGCACAGCCCTAGGGACCACAGGAAGGCAAGAGAAACTCCATTCTGAAATTAGCTTGAGAAGCAAGATGAACCTAAAATAGCTAGGTTTACGGCACTGACCCTAAGTATCCAACAGTTGGAGATGCAGAGATTTGTATGGACTGGGGAATCAAGGAAGGCTCCTTGGTGGTGGGCCTGAAGGACAAGAGATTGGGACCCGTGGAAAGAATAGGGAAGACATTTCAGTTGGGAAGAGTAAAAGCAAAGACAGGCTCCTCTTGACCTTGTCCTGCCTCAAATGTTAATTCATAAAACCCTCACATTTTTAGAAATGAGGACCCAAAAACCAGGAGGTTACAGAGGCGGTAGAGAGGTGTTCTGCCCAATGGTAGGGCTTCATGTTGGGGCTCTGGATTTATAGCTGATAGAAATGTAAGGACAAGCTCATCACATTTCAAAGTGACACTGGGAGAGATGTTCATGGTATTCCAAGACAAAGTGAGGGCCCCGAATGACTTCACAGAGTGGGAATGATGGGCCCATTTTATTTTTAAAACATGTTTTTATTGATTTTAGAGAGAAAGGGGGAGAGAGAGAGAGAGAGAGAGAAACATCGGTGTGAGAGAGAAACATTGATTGGTTGCCTCCTGCATGCACCCCAGCTGGAGATCAGACCTGCAACCTGGGTATGTGCCCTGACTGGGAATCAAACCAGTGACATTTCTGTGCATGGGATGATGCTCAACCAACTGAGCCACACCGGCCAGGGTGATGGACCCATTTTAATACAAAATTGAAAACAACGTCATGAGAAAATGACGTAATACAAAGTGACGACCCAATCAGTACACTCCTCTAGCCCTCTAAAAGGAAAATGATGACAATGCCACCACCGTAAATGAACAAGAGATGGGCACAGAAGCAGCCCAGGTGGAAAACAGGATCAACACTGTGAAGAGGTGTTATTAAAAGAGGATTTGGCCCTGGCTGGTGTGGCTCAGTTGCTAGGGCATTGTCCTGTGCACCAAAAGATTGCCAGTTTGATTCCTGGTCAGGGCAAGTGCCAGGGTTGCAGGCTAGATCCCTGGTAGGAGGGATGCAGGAGGCAGTTGGTTGATGTTTCGCTTTCACACTGATGTTTCTCTTTTCCTCTCTAAAAATCAATAAAAAAAATCTTTAAAGATTTCAGGACTAAAGATGATTTGGTGTTACTCAGAGGAGGAGATAAGACAACCCTGCCCTTAGCATGATCAGGCCTGTATTTGGGTCACCTTTTGACAGTGTGGCCCAGAACTTCTTAGCAATGAGAGATAACCTTCCTCAGGAGGGGGATCCCTGTTGCTGACTGTTAATAAGCAAAAGATCGGACATTTTTTTGGTGGGTTGTTGCAGAGGGAATATGCCCAGGAGGTAGACTGCCTAGGTTACCATTGTAGAAGTTGAGTAACCTTGGTTGAGAACATAGCCCCTTCTCTCACTCCTAAATTGCTTCAGTTAGCATGGTGCATGTTAGGACTAAGTCAGGACTAATTAAAGATGACTGCCTTTGGGGAGTGGTAGGAGGTAAATTATGAGGGGAAGGGCTCTGGAGAAGGTGTCTTGGCAGGCGGGGCAGCATGAGATCACTCAGATTCTCCAAGGTTTCAGAGAGATTACTCATCTGGGAGCATTCCTCTGATCTACTGGGGGTACCGATATGTTCTCAGGACATGGTTGGGCCTCTGGGAAAGGCAGAATAGCACAGACAAATGATTTATCAGCTTAAGAGGGCTTGAGAGTCACCTGTAGATTCCACAAAACAATTAAAAAAAAATACCTGTAAGTGAATTCTTGGGCCAACCCTCAGAAAGCATCCAGATCTGGAGTGAGGCTCAGGCACCTGCACTTTTATCAAACTTCCTGGGCAGTTCTGACACAGTGGTCCATGGATAGTTACCAAGGTATTATCTAAACTGGGTGGCTTTTTTTTTTTTTTAAAGTTTTTACTGATTTCAGAGAGAGGAAGGGAGAGGGAGAGAGACAGAAACATCAATGATAAGAGAGTCATTTATCAGTTATGCAACCTGGGCCGGGAATCGAACAGTGACCCCTGGTTTATAGGTTAACCCTCAACCACTGAGCCATGCCAGCTGCACAGTGTGCAAGTATTTTTAAATTGTTTTATGGAGCATTACGTCAGGCAAAGTTTATATAATGTTGCAGAGTCTGGAACCAGAGAGATGCTATATGCTTATTTTGCCAGATTGGTGAAATAGTTTAATCCTATCTCATCTTCCGTCATCAGGAGATGGGAAAGAAGGCAGAGCATGGAAATGTTCACCATGCAATACTTCTGTGCCAGTCTGCTTTTTTTTTAATCCTTACCCGAGGATATTTTTTCATTGCTTTTCAGAGAGAGTAGGAGAGAGAGAAACAAAGATGTGAGAGAGACAAATCGATTGCCTCCTGCACGAGCCCGGACAAGGGCTGAGATAGAGCCTGCAACTGAGGTATGTGCCCTTGGCGAGAATCAAACCTGGGACCCTGCAGTCCATGGGCTGAAGCTCTAACAACTGAGCAAGACTGGCTAGGGCTCAGTCTGTGTTTTATTCTTCTGCCAGTACTTCCCAGAGACAGTTCACTGAGTGCACAAGCATTCCATGGGCATTATTGTTGAAGATAATTTCTCTCTACTACTAGTCACATCCCCTTTCTCTTCTGATGGGGGCTTAAAGGATGTTTTGGGGGCAGAGAATAAAATCTATGTTTACAAACTAAAATGTCTCTGTTGTGTGTTTTGGAGTGTGTTTTCAATCGAATGAATGATGTTCCCATGATAACTATTATTAAGGGAACCCATAAAAACATCATATTTTGTTAGAAATCATGACACAATATAAAGCCAAAATCTACTTTATTTTTCACAATTCATGTGAAAGACTACAGTGAGCCATGCTCAGTAGCTCACCTTCCAATGCTGGCCAGCAGCTCACTGGACCTTCAGGGAGGTGATTAGGCAGCCGGGAGTGTCCTACTGACAAGTGTGCTCACCCATCCAGCACATAGGGAAAGATCTGTTATGGCACCACATTCATGTCAACTGGGGCAAAGGTTCTCTGAGGACCCTAGTCCTGGAAGGCTTCTCTTCCGGCGAGCTGCCAGCTCAATCTTCTGAACGAGGCTCACATCCCAGGGATGGGTAACGAAGCTGATGACGGTGCCTGGCACCTCACTCCCTACTCGGCCCACCCTTCCTGCTCTGTGTATGTAGTCCTGCAGGGTGAGGGGGAAATCATAATTGACAACTAGCTCCACATGGGTACTGTCCAGGCCCCGAGAGGCTATGTCTGTGCAGAGAAGTATGTCTCGGGACCCCTTCTGGAAGCTCTGGAAGATACCTGCCCTCATTGAGGCTGGCATTTGTCCCTGCAGCCTTAGGTGTTGGATTTTGTGGTCATCCAGAATATATCCTAGCCAGTTCACAGTGCTGGAACTATTACAGAACACCAGAACAGTTCCTGAGGAGCCAGTCCTATCTGCTCTGTCACGCTGCTTTAGGATCTGCACCAACTCAGATACCTTCTCTGCTCCCTTCAGCCTCATAAATGTCTGTTTGACATGAGGCATAATACAATGGAGCTTGGAGCTGGTGATGGTGGTTAGAGAGTCTGAGTTGGAGACTTTACTCAGCAGCTGGCCTACACCTTTGGGAAATGTGGCCCCTACCAGCACCAACTGAGCTTTGGGATTGAAGGGGTCTTTTAAGTCATCTGGGCCTTCTGCTATATTGCTCTTCTCCAAGATGTAGTCCACCAGTTCCAGGAAACTTTCATCCAATAGTGTGTCTGCCTCATCCAGTACCAAGAAGGAGAGCTGCTCCAAGTTGATCAGATGACGTTTCAGAGCCTTCCACAGAGCCCCTGGAGTGGCCACCAGTACATCGGCTGGAGGTAGTTTGGACAGTTGTTGCCTAATCCTACTCATGCCATGCCCTCCCCCTAACTCCTGCACCTGGAGTCCCAAGGATCTGCCTAAGGGCTGGGCCACGGCCCGCACCTGTTCGGCTAATTCTCGCGAAGGCACAAGGACCAGACCTCGGGGAGCAGGGATACTGCCGGGGTCCCGGCCTGGCCGGCCCAAGAGCTGTTGAAGCAGGGGTAGCAGGTAGCTGAGAGTCTTGCCACTGCCAGTTTCTGCTGCGCAAAGGATGTGGCGGCCGCTAAGTAATGAGGGGATGGTACTCGACTGCACCGTAGTGGGCCGAACGACTTCGGGAGCAACCTCCTGCAGTGCGCGCAGTACGCGTGGCTCCAGACCTAGATCGGCGAAGGTGCCTTCGGACGAGAAGTTCCGCAATGCTGGTGTCTCGCGTTGTGCGCGCTCGATGGAGAAGTGGTCCCAGCGGGCGCGTCGGTTCTTCCAGCCACGAGAAGCGAGTGGCGCGCTCTCCCAACGAGCCAGCGTGAGGCGCGCCGGCTGGTTGAACTCCGGCCGCCGCGCCGAGATCAGCAACCGGCCAGGTCGCACCAGTACAGGCCGCGAGGAGCTCCGCCGCCCGCTCTGCCGCCGTTCCTGCAGCCGCTGTAGAGCCCGTGGGATGCGCACCACTGGAAGGGGCTCGTCGGTCCCACTAACCGCCAGGTTCCGTCGAGGCGCCAGAAACAACCGAGCTGCGAGCAACCAAAGCTGCGGCGGCCGCGCTAGAGCCATTTTTCCTTGGTGCTGGAGAGGCGCGCGGCACTGACGTCACTGGCGCGCCGAGGTCTCGCAGACGGTGGCCGGCTGGGCTCAGGAAGGCACGCGGAATTGGAGAACCTTGAGGAAGGAGGGAGGATCTGTAGAGTTCATCAGCAGCGAGGTCTGTAGGTCGGAACAGGGGTTGGCGACGTCCACACCTAGACCAACCTTGGGGAAGGGCGCGCTATGGAGGCAGGACTGGGGGTCCGACGAATCGCGGCGACGGGGCCCTGGCTTTACGGACCTGGAGGGCGGAGGACTTCTGGTGATTGGGTGTCCGATCCCTGCAATTCTCCATTGTCGCCCTCACCACCCCGGTGATGGCTTCTCCAGTGCTGGTCTCCTCCTATAAACTCCGAGGGTGCGGCAATGTTTTTCTAGATGTGGTCCCCGCTCGAGGTTTGGTAATAAGTGTTTATTGAGAGTCTAAATGAATGGCCAGGCCCGGGGACCGAGACACAAGGGCCAGGGCTGGTAGGTCTAGGCTGAACCTTCCCAGCCCAGCTGAGATCCCAGAGAGCATGCTGGTAGCCTTCACCTTCTTGGTCTCCGTGAAGGTCTTCAGGCTTTATTTCAAGCGGATTCATCCCTTCACACGTTTTCTCTTTTCAGCTGAGGTTCACACTCCACTCCATTGTCACCCCATCCACCTTATCCTGAACCCACCACTTTTGCGGTCCGCTAATCTCTGCTGGCTTCCCAGTCAGATACTCAAATTACGTGAATAGCAGTGAAGAGGGCCCTGCTACCCTACGGAGTGATCAGGTATGTGGCCTGTCTCACATAGCCCTGGTCAGGCAGAATATTTTACTTGAATTCAGATGTCCAGGTTGCCAAAAGACCTTATACTAGTCATACTTCTTGACTAGATATGGAAAATGGGTGTCATCTTTTCTATAGTCCCCAGTGCCTGGGGTGGGAGATAAGGTAAATGTGGATTAATTCCTGGGAGGTTCTTAACATCTGGAGAAAGTGTTTTAGTTTCGTTAAATACCATTAAAAAGATAAGTACTTTTAAAATTTCAAATACCATTTTGATACATGAGTAGACTTCCTGGAGAATTAACTGTTAAATCAGTGGAGGAGAGTTTTTAGTAGTGACAGTGAACAGTCATTATTAATTTTACTTCTGTCACCCCCTCACCCCCCATTTGACACTGAGGACATTTTTAGTTGTCACATCTGGGAAGGTGCTGCTGGCATCTGTCCAGTGGATAGAGGCCGCTAAACATCATGCAATGCACAGGATAGTCCCCCACAAAAAAGAATTATCTGGCCCAAAATGTCAAGTTTGCTGTTGAGAAACCCTGCCTACAGGATGAAGACTGAAGAGAGGCTGAGGTTACCACATATACTCTCACTTCAGGTAGGCTCATTTGCCTACCTCTTGCTTTGGCCCTGGCCCTTTCCCAGAATCTGTAGCAGGCACACTGATGCCATGCTTGTAATGCCCTTAGGATCAGGAACCATGGGGGCCCCTGAAAATCATAAACATAGGAAGGAGTGATTCAAGAAGGTAAAGCTGTAGAAGAAAAGTTTAGGGAGAGCAAAACTGTCCTCATGTATTTGGGAAATGTGCCAGATGGAAAAGCGATGAACTGTGCAGTGGGGTGTCTCCTTCCAGAGGGATGTTGTATCCACACAACTGAAATGAAGTTAAGGTTACTGAGGAAGAAATTGGGAGTAATCAAAATGTGATAGAGGACACCAGCCCTTAAAGGAATGGTACAAAGAGATTGAGAATGTGCGACTAAAATGATTTGGGTGTCACCTCAGCACTGGGTGTAACTGGGAAAAGGTAGGAGCTGCCTAGCTTCTCTAAGAGGAGCCTTTTTGGAAGAAGGCCTATCAGGCACCTCTTCCAGTGTGCCAGAGGGAGTTTGCAGACCAGCCACCCTATAAGAGGGTGTCTGCTCAGCCACCACGGAGGTGAGTGTTCTGTAATACCTTCTAAAGCAGCTGCTAAGGGCCAGGAACTGGGCTCAGTGCTAGAAACCTGGTGGTGAACTAAGCATCCATGCTCCTATCTTTGTGGAGCTTGTATTTCTGGTGGTCTAGAGGAAGAGCTGGGAGCTGAATGAGAGACCACAGGACTAAGTATGGACAGACACATGGATTGTAACTGAGCTATAGGAAATTCAAGGTATTATGAGAACATGTGACCAGGGACCTGAAGTTAGATCGTCCGGTAGGGAAGCATATATAAAAAGGGGGTATTCAAGAGGACCGTAGTCAGGGAGAGTGTTCCAGACAGAGAACTGCAAGTGCGTGGGCCCCAGAGCAACAGAAAGCTTGGTTGGGAGACTTTAAAAGAAGACCAGGGTTGCCAGAGAAGGGAGTGAGGGGGAGGGGCTCAAGGTAAGGCTGGAGAAGTGGGCAGGGACCAGTCATGCAAGGCTTTATGGGCCTTTAGAATGATTTGGGGTTTATCCTAAACTCAGTGGGAAGCCATTGAAGGGTAGAAATAGGGAAATGACATTGTCAGAATTGCCTTTTTAAGATGCCACGATGGTGGGTCGGTGGGTCAGAGTAGACAAGAGTAGATTTGGGGAAACCTTTTAGGAGGCTGACTTGGTGTGCAGTGGTGACAATGGAATGGAGCAAAGCAGATGGGTGGAAGTTATATTTTGAAGGTTACTTCAGCAGGAGTTAATGATGAATTAGATGTGGGAAATGTGGGATATTGGTTCCAGGACCCCCATGGATACCAAAATCCTTGTCCCTAATATAAAATAACACTGTATTTATATATAACCTATATTTGCATATAGGCTACAGCAGGGCATGTCAACACAATACTTCATGTAGATTCAGCATAGTGCTCAGCATGTGGAAAATTCAAGTTTTATGTTGTGGAACTTTCTGGGATTTTTCTCCTCCCCCTCCCCCCTGCTTATTTTCAGTCTGGTTGGTTGAATCCATGGGTGTGAAACCTGCAGTACAGAGAGCCAACTGTACCAAATTTCCAACATACTAATTCATTTATTTGTTATGCTTATTGCTTTTTTGCCTGTGTTCCCTGATCTGATTGAAAGCTCTACCAGAGCAGGAATTGTCTGTCTTATTTTCTCATGTATCCCTAAAGACTAGGATAGTGACTGACACAGACTAGGGACTTAATAAATATTTTTGGATGAATGAGCATGTGCTATTTTATGATCAGAGAAAAGGAAAACAAGGTACTATGTGTTGGAAGGAAGAAGGAAAGGCAGCCCTGGATAATAGAGGAGATTTTCTCCACTTGAATTTCTGACTTTTCGCTTTCTTCAGGGTAAGCAGAGGAGGAATGATTGTTAACAGCCTCTCACTGTGCTACCACAACAAACTCATCTTAGCCCCCATGGTTCGGGTAGGGACTCTTCCAATGAGGCTGCTGGCCCTGGACTATGGAGCGGACATTGTGTACTGTGAGGTAAGGGGCTATTGATTTTCCCAGAGAGATTTGTTGCAAACACTGTTTCCCCATCTGTGGGTGGAAGTGGTCAGGAGAGGGGAGTATGGGGGCTTGGCAGAATGGGCACTGACTTCACAGGTGCTCACTGAAGGTAATGGACAAAGATGCATGACATTTCTGAGTTCTGTGAGCCCTGCTAAGGGCCATCAGCCTGGGCAACATGGAGGCATTGCGGGTTACCTGGGCCAGGTGAATAGATGAGCATTGTGTCGGGTTACTGCTCTGGCCCCTACAGGATTTAATATACGTTCAGTACATGAATGAATGAACTTAAGGTTAGGAAGAGGAGGAAGAGGCCCAGATTCAGGCCAGGGAAGCCGGATGATATTGGTTTGGGGAGCCATAGGATTTTCTGGTGGTGGTAGCTAGTGGGCCAGCTACTTGCTGACTGCTCGGGAGAATATTAGGGCTTCAGACCCAGGTTTAGAAAGCATCTGTTAGAAAAAATAGAATTACAGGATACTGAATTATGAGGGAGTATGAACAGTGGTTCTCAATTGGGCATGTATCAGAATTGTCTAGGCAGCTTCTCCCCAATCCTCAATCCTGATATATCCCCCTAGTGGATATGAGAAGTTTAAGAAGAGGTTGCTCAAGTGCTTCTGATATTTCCATTTTTTTTTTGTAGTTAATCCTCACCCAACGATATTTTTCTATTGATTTTAGGTAAAGTAGAAAGGAGGGAGGGAGGAAGGAAGAGAGAAATATCAATGTGAGAGAGACACATCAACTGGTTGCCTCCCGCACACGTCCCACCTGGCGCCAGGGATCGAACCTGCAACCCAGGTATGTGCCCTTGACCAGGAATCTAACCTGAGATCCTTCAGTGCATGGGCTGATGCTCTAACCACTGAGCAACACTGGCCAAGGCTGATATTTCCATGTTTAAAAGCCACCAGGGCCCAGCCGGGCATGGCTCAGTGGTTGAGCACTGACCTAGGATCCAGGAGATTGCGGTTCGGTTCCCGGTCAGGGCACATGCCCGGGTTGTGGGCTTGATCCCCAGTGGGGGGCGTGCAGGAGGCAGCCCATTGATGACTCTCTCTCATCATTGACGTTTCTATCTTTCTCTCTCCCTCTCCCTTCCTCTCTCTGACATCAATAAAGATATATTAAAAAAAAAATACAGACTCTCGGGCTCCACCCCAGATGTACTGAATTACAGCCTGCATTTTAAAAAAACACACAAAACAAGTAAAAAATAAATAAATAAAAGCCACTGGGGTAGGGTAGAGTGGGGTAGGGACTGTGGCTATAAAGGGCAACACAAGGAATCTTTGTGGTGATGAAACTATACTTTGTTTTAGCTATCTCAATGTCAATATTCCGGTTGTGATACTATACTATAGTTTTGTAAGATGTTACCCCTTGGCTTTCACTTTTCCTGTGCGGGCAACATTTTTCTGGGATTCTAGAAAGTGGGGTTGTATTACTCACTTGGAGATGTGTGGAATGAAACACCAGGACAGAAGTGAGTGAGTGCACTGTAGCACAGGGCCTGTGTCAGACAGCCGCTCTGTGTTTATGGCCCTGGGGAAATTGGTCTGTGTGATGGAAGCTGGGCAGTGGGAGCGGTGCTACCGCTGGAAACAGGTGACCTGCCAGGTTCCAGAACTTTCATCAGCTACTACTTTGGATTTCTTAGGGTTGTTTTCAAGTACTTTGGAAGTCATGGGTACAAGATTTATCTGATGGCTTCAGAATTCTGCCTTCCTTATCTCCAGGCCACTCCTAATTATTCAAAACTTGTTTTTCCTAATATGTATGACCAATTCTTTCCTCTAGGGCTTTGCTCCAGTTAGGAGAAGAGGAATACTGATTAAAACTCTTTGGAATGTCTGATGTGCTCATACTCTGGAAGAGTCCATATGGTTTATTAACAAAGGGGGCTTCTGCTGGAGGAGACCTAGCCCTCCACCCAGACCTAGCCCCTGTGCAGAGCAGAAGCAGGAGACCAGCAGGCAGGCAGGCTGGTTGCTGTTTGGTGCGGGTGGTTGGCTGTTCCCTAAGCACTGGGCATAACACAGTGTGATGCCTGGTGCCCCCTGGTGGATTTAGAGTTGCTCTGCAGGCCAGGATTATTAATACTGTTTTAGCTAGCTGCGTACGTGATCTTAATTGGGTTCACATGAGTTTGCCCATCTGTGGGATTAGAGAGTCAAACCACACCACCCACCTCACAGGATTGCGTATAGGATTTAGGGCATACCAGGCATGCAGGCACCTCCTTAAAAGCCCTGGAAAGCCCTCAGTAGCTGGAAGTGAAGAAAGGATGAACCAGCTCAGCAAAAGTCGAAGGAGCAGTAAGACTGATCCCCCACCAAGGTCTGCCCCATCCACAGGAGTTCCTCAGATGTTGTGTTTCTATTCCTTTTTATAAGAACAATGGCACTTCAGTGGCTCAAACTGTGAGGGGACACTTACCTGTTTGACCTATACCTTTTAATAAATAAGATCAAGGGAGAAGGCAATGTTCTTAATAGGCCCACGTGTCCAGATTCTGGGCTGTTATCTTCTCTCTGGCTGTCTGAGCTGCTCACCCTTTCTAGGCCTCAAATATCTCCAAGGCCTTTGGGAAGAATAGCTTGAGGGAAGCTCATTCAGGCCCCTGCTTGCCATGCTTGGGCAGGGAGGACAGTACTATATGTCCCCAAAGCCATGATTTGTTGTTGATAGGGTGACAGGCCAAGCGGCCCCCATCAGGTGTGCAATGAAGGTCCTCCCTCAGTGCCCAGGGTCTACATTCCCTGGACTGACAAGTGCCCTCTGATTTCTCCATAGGAGCTGATTGACCTCAAGATGCTCCAGTGCAAGAGGGTTGTCAATGGTGAGTGCAGCTCTGGTCACCAGTCAGGCCCAAGCCTATGGTGGCAGGGTCATTCCAGGGTTCTGGCCTGGCTGTATAATTTTGTGGATCATGTGTTTCCTTGAGAACATCCTCTGCTCTCCGGAGACCCTGACAAAAACCAGATATGAAACAGGTTAAGAATGCCTTCCACCCATAGGCTTGCTGGCATAGAAATTGCCAGGTTTCACAGTACAGGAAGGACCCTAGAAGCCTTGGGGTTGGGATGGCTTTGGCACTGGTCCTGGCTGTGCTACTTGCTAGCTGTGTGACCTTGGGCAAGTCACATGACCTCTCTGCCTCAGTTTCTTTACCTGTAAAATAAAAATCGTAATTCCTGCTTTACTTAAATCATAGGATTGGAGTGAGGATCAAATAAGATAAGGTACATGTAAGTACTTTACAAATGAAAATGGTTGTGCTGAATTGTGGTTTTGCTTATATTTTATTGATGAGGCTGATTCTGCTTTGTTTAGAGTTGTGGTATTGTCTGAGGTTTTTGAAATGGTTTTGAGGTTTTACATATTCATCAGATCCTAAGAGAAGTTCACTAGAAGTTGTGACTCAATTTTGTCTTTGTTTTAGATTTATATTTTCCTTGTGCTATGAAAAATTCAATGTTACAGATCTGTATAACCTAGAAAATGAAAATCCCCCATAATCTCATACTTGAAAAGGTGATCACAAAGAGGAATAATGTATACATTTTTTTACACATTTAGTGAAACATGTATATGAAAATATAACATGTTTGTGTACCTCCCGTTCTGCCCCTTGGTATCATGCTACACATGTTTTGCTGCTTACTTTTCTACTAGGACATTTTCGCATGTCAGTACTTACAGATAGCTATGTCAGAATTGATTTCACCAGTGCTTTAACAGGGGGGTCAGTATTTTGCTGTTATAAATAAATAGAGCTCTAGTATGAACACACTAAGTTTTTCTTGTTGTTAAAAATTTTTTTAATCCCGAGGCTTTGTTTTTTTCTGAACTGATTTTAGAGAGAAAGGAAAGAGGAGGGAGAGAGAGAGAGAAACATTGATGTGAGAAAGAAACATTGATGTGAGAGAGAAACATTGATGGGTTGCCTCTTGTATGCGCCCTGACCGGGGATTGAACCTGCAACCTGGGTGTGTGCCCTGACGAGGAATCGAACCCTCAACCCTTTTGCTGTACAGGACAACGCTGCAACCAACTGAGCCACCTGGCCAGGGCCCACACTAAGTTTTTGTGGTTCTTCTCTCAGACTTCTTACTTGGCCAGTCACGAGCTGTGTCTGCTGCTGGAGATTGTATTGATTACCTTGCCCAACACATCACTGCCTTTACTCCATCTTTTTAATCTTCTAATCTGTTCAGTGCTGCCATGATAATAATAGCTTCTGTTTATGGAAGTGCTTTACTTGCATTAAAGATCTCATTTATTTCTCAAAATAAATGCTTGAGGTAGACATATTCTCCCATCTGCCACTTGGACCTCTTTCATGTGCTGTTAGTCATCTTTGAAAGCTAATTATGGGGAGGGGGAGAGAAAAGAAAGCTAATTATGGTAATACCTGTTGTAGAGCTTTGCTCTGAAGGTCATATGAGAGTATTATTTGCAGTTGTTATGTTCTATAAAGTTGCTGCAAACATCAAGTTTGTGAATACTGAACCATTGCTCCTAGAGGAAATAAAGGTATACCTCATTTTATTGCACTTTGCAGATACTGTGTTTTTTACAAATGAAGGTTTATGGCAACCCTGTGTCAAGTAAATCTATTGGCTCCATTTTTCTACCAGTTCAGATTATGGTTAGCAATTTTTTGAGCAACAAAATGTTTTTTAATTAAGATATCTACATTTTTTTAGACATAATGCCATTCTATACTAAACAGACTATAGTGTAAACATAACTTTCTTATGCACTGGGAAACCAAAAAATTTGTGTGACTTGCCTTATTGCGATGTTTACTTTTTGTGGTCTGGAACTGAACCTGCAATATCTCCGAGGTATGTCTGTGTAGGTTTAGGTTCTTGCACATCTCTGGGCACACATTTTCATTAACAGATCAATACATGATCTTGTTTTATGTGTGCTTCTGTTTAAAAACATATAATTTAATATATTCTGTTGATTTATTAACATTGAACTCACAGCCAACAGGACTATAATTTCATGTCTGAACATAACTTGTCTGTCACATGTATTTTCTCCATAAGGCACATCACAGCCTTCTTGTGTGTAGGACACTAGACAGCACTTCTCTCTGCTTGGGGCCATTTAAAACAGTGAGATTACCAACAAAAATTCAAAAATGTGGCATTAAATATACCACCATATATACACTTGTTTACAGTAATAGAGCTGAAACAAGAAGAGTGTTGCCTCGTTTGACCTCAGCCGGGAACGTGTGTACATCGGGTAACTGACATTTTCTGTAGTTCTATGCATGTCTGAGAATGACAATGAAAGCGCCATGAGTATTGATTTTGTGTTACAAAGAAATCTTAGCAAGCAGGCATATTTGTAAATACACAACTGCAAATAATGAGAATCGACTGTAATATAGTAAATCTCCACTCACAGCATCTGGCACTTGATAAGTAACTAAGAAACAGCAACTTTGCTAAAGCTCATAGTGACATGTTCTTGGAAAATTGAGTTAAAATCTGAAGCTCAGACAAGATGCTCTACATGCACATTATTTTTTTAATGTTTTAAAATTGCAAAATGTAACAACCATAGAGAGAAAGTGCATAATACACAAGCATGCAGTTTAACAAATAGCTGTAAAACAAACAACCATCTAACTAACCATCACCCAGGTCAGGAAATAGAACATCATTAGCCCCTCAGAAGTCTCCCATGTGCACACTGATTTCTTCTAAGAATGATATACTTCTAGCATTCCTTTTCCCTTTAAGCTGACACTTTTGCTGTGTTTTCTTGCAGGGATTAGGCTAGGTTGAGATTGCTTCTTCAGTGGGTGGGCCTGTGTGTTTGTGTTTTCTTGCAGAAGTGCTCAGTACGGTGGACTTTGTCGCCCCCGATGACCGAGTAGTCTTCCGCACCTGCAAAAGAGAACAGAACAGGGTCGTCTTCCAGATGGTATGAGATCCCAGGCCTCACCTATCGCCTGCAATTGCCATCTCATGCCCTGAGCTGGGCCACTGTTCAATGCCTGGGCTTCAATGCACAGTGACGGCTTCCTGAAGACCCCATTAAACCTTTTTCAGAGATCTGCTCATGAATGATTACACTTTGAAGATAGTTTATGGAAATCAAGCTATAGCAGTCTGTTACATATCTCTAGTCTCAGATTTAATTTCCTTAATTATAGGAATTATCTGTTTGGCATGACTTATATATTTTTAATCCTTAGCATTAGTTATTCAGATCATGGTCTTTGTTTTTGTGTATATATTTCCTATAGAAAGAAATTAGGTTTGCTCAAGATTAGTTAATATTTATGTTAGGGTTATAATGACTCTGTAGCTCTTTTCTCTCACTTTGGGCATCTCTTAGTGCTTTTTTTTTTTTTTTTTTTTTTTTTTTTTTTTTTTTTTTTTAGAGGGGGNAAGATTAGTTAATATTTATGTTAGGGTTATAATGACTCTGTAGCTCTTTTCTCTCACTTTGGGCATCTCTTAGTGCTTTTTTTTTTTTTTTTTTTTTAGTATATCTTTATTGATTTCAGAGAGGAGGGGAGAGGGAGAGAGAGAGAGAGAAACATCAATGACGAGAGATTCATTGATTGAGCCCGCAACCTGCGCATGTGCCCTGACCGGGAATCGAACCCCGATCGCCTGGATCCCAGGTCGACGCTCAACCGCTGAGCCACGCTCGGCCGGGCTCTTAGTGCTTTTTATTTCCTGATTTAGATTTTTAAAAAATTGACAACAATAGGCAGACATATGATAAAGCAAATATAGCAAAATGTTAATTATAGAATCTAAGTGGTGGGTATATGATTGTTCACTATACAATTTTTTCAGGTTTTTTTGTATGTTTGAAAGTAATCATTGATGACATTATCTAGGCCCTCTAGGTCCAAATGGCCTTTGACAGTTAGCTAGCCTAGTGGACTGGTTGTTTAAGAGATACCAGCTGGACTCCACTTACTGACGTGTGTGTGCGTGTCGTGCATGAGTGTGTTTGCCTGTGTGTGTGTACCTGTGTCAGGGTGGTGGTTGATAGAGCCTCTTTGTGTTCCCAGGGGACTTCAGATGCAGAGCGAGCCCTTGCTGTGGCCAGACTTGTGTAAGTTCTTCCTTCTTTGGAACTATCTTTGCCTCTCCTGTGGGCTGTGAGGCCTCAGTGTTCCTGGTGATGTTGGAGGTGACTACCCTTCTGCCTTCTAGTTTACTACCTTCTATGTTGCATCTGGTTTCCTTCTCTGTTTGTGGCATTTGAGGGCTGGCCTGGGACTCACGTGTACCCACTGTGTCCAGATCCCCAATAACCTCTGTGTAGGCGCCTGTTTTTTAGTGCTTATTCCTGAGGCTCCCTTTCCAAGGACTCTTATGAGTATGAGCCCTGAGGTTTTAAATTTCATGAAGTATAGGTTATACTTATTGCTTCCTAATAACAGAGGCAGGAGAATGTTGTGGTTAAGGAGTTAGATGGACCTGGATTGGAATTCTAGCTCTGCTGCTTGCTGTGTGACCTTAGGTAACCTTGCTGAGAACTTAGTTTCCTCATCTAAAGTGAGGAAACCAATAGTATTGAGACCAATAAAGTGAGACCAATAGTATTACCTACCTCTGGCATTATAAGGAAAGAAAAATGAAATAATGCACGTAAATATCTTTGCAGTGTGTAGCACGTAGTAAGTTTTAGTAAATATTAGCTATTGTTACGAATTATAGTAAGGGTGAGAAGGCAACTCACATAATAGTTGCTGCTGAGTCACAGCCTGTTAACCGTGTACATACCAGAAGATGAGCTAATTGCATTACCCAGCCATCAAAGGCAGTGCTCTAACTTCCACCAGAATCAGTGCTCTGGGCAAGGGCTCTTACACTCATGTCACTTTTGTGCGTGGACAAGTGGCTTTCACTATCCCAGTCAAAACTGGAACTCTGGGATCGAGTTCTATGTGACTGTCACTTGAAATTTGAGTTATCTAATATAACTCCAAAGTAGCAAAGTCCTCCACAACTAGCTCTTTGTAAAAGTGTGAACGCATTATGCCATGCCTCTTGAGCTCTGCTTGGGAGAGGCAGTTGCACATTTTAGAGAGAGGTTTTTGTCAGCTTCTGATTCTGAGGGTTGGCATGTTTCAGGGCCTGGGACATGGTAAGGAATTCATGAGCACAGACCCATGCTTTTGACTCTACCTTTTTTTAAATTTAAATTTTATTTTTTTTATTGATTTCAGAGAGGAAGGGAGAGGGAGAGAGAGAGAGAAAGAAACATCAATGATGAGAAATGGTCATTAATCTGCTGCCTCCTGCACACCCCCTGCTGGGGATCGAGCCCACAACCTGGGCATGTGCCCTGACGAGGAATTGAACCTCGATCTCCCGGATCCTAGGTCAATGCTTAACCACTGAGCCACGCCAGCTGGGCTACTTCATTCCTCAAGTTGAATATTTACTACTGTTTCTCTTTTTTCCAGAGAAAACGATGTGGCTGGTATTGACGTCAACATGGGCTGTCCAAAAGAGTATTCCACCAAGGTAAACTGAGTTCTTTATACTCTTCAAAAATACAGGGTACAGATTAAAGAGGACTAATGAGACATGACAACTAAGCACAGTACCTGACTCTGGACTAGATCCCGTACTAGGTGGGAAAATGCTCAAGAGGATATTATTAGGTCAGTGGGCAAAATTGGAATATGGACCATGGTAGATTAACTAAATTTATAAAGTTTATAAAGTTAACAACTCTTTGGTTTTGTAAGAATATCCCTATTAAAATAAAATACAGAGCAAAATATTTAGGGGTCAAGGGCTATGATATATGTGATTTGACCCTCAAATGGTTCAGCAAAAATTTTATATACACATACGTATACATATATACATACACATATACACTTAAACACACACATAGATCACTTATGCCCATTTGTTCTATTTTTAATTTAATTTTAATTTGAATTTTTTTCATCCTCAGCCGAGGATATTTTTTCCATTGCTTTTCAGAGAGAGTGGACGGGAGAGAGAGAGAGAGAGGAAGAAACATTGATGTGAGAGAGACACATTGATTGGTTGCCTCCCTCACACACGCCAACCGGGGCCGGGGATTGAGCCTGTAACTGAGGTACGTGCCCTTGGCTGGAATCGAACTGGGACCCTTCAGTCCACAGGCTGATGCTCTAACCACTGAGCAAAACTGGCTAGGGCTATACCCATTTGTCTTAAATGATGTGTTAAAAGAAAAAATAACGTGAACGGGGCTTTGTCTTTTCATAAATAACACCAAGCCATACATTTTTAAAAAAATAAGAGATGCACATTTTTCCCTCTTATAATAGAAGATCAGACCAGAGTGCTAGGATAGCTCAGAAAGGAGTGGACAGGCAGCACTTAAACTTGGGATTTTAGAGGGAAATGTGCTCCTTGGTGAGGAGGTTTGGAACCCTGCAGGCAGAAGGGGTGGCACAGCAGGGGCTTAGATGCCAACGTGAGGTAGAGGCAGAGAACCTTGATTTGACCAGAGGATTGGAGAGTGGGAGATGAAGAGGAAACAGGATTGAAAATCTTGTTTGGGACTAGAGTAGCTGGACTTGGATTTTTCAATATTCCTTTTGTGAACAGAAAGGCATGTGATCAGAAACTTCGTTTCTTTCTCCAGGGGAAACCAGTGTTACTGGTTTCTTGTGTGTCCTTCCAAGTACATTCTATGAGTAGAAATACTGATCTGGGAGCCATGTGTCTTGTGGATTGAAGTGGAACAAGGCTAGAGGTGGGGATATAGATGTAGGAGATGAATGTCATGGGTCCACAGGAGAGACCAAGGATAGAGAGAGGAGAAGCCCAACTGGAGCAGAATTTGACAGGACTTGGCTGGGAAATGATTGGATTGGGTGTGGGGAAGTAGTGTTCGTGGTGGGGGTAGAGGAAGGAAAGACTGGCAGCCAGGAGGACGGTTGGTCTTCTGTGTCAACAGGACTGCTAGAGGAAAAGCATGTTTGGAGCAGATAACAAGGACAGCTTGGGGTTGGGTGTGTGTGAGACACCAGAGGGACTCCTGCAGGGCTGCCCCTGGGAACCTTATTGCAGGGTGTGTGGCCAGGGCTTCCTTAAAGCCTCTAAGGCTTGTATATGTGGCCAAGGTAGGCCAGGGCTAGTCCTCTTCTGCCCTTCCCATTTTCCTCTGACATGCAGGCTCGGGCTGGCCAAGTCTGTGGTGGGTCAGTTTTCCCTGCTTCTAATCTGTCACCCTTTAACACATGTAATCACTGACCTTAGATATGAGCACAGACTGTGGGCATTCGTTAGTACGCAGTCTCTACTGACAGCATATATTTTATTGAATTTGTTTTTCTCCCCTTCACCTCACTCTTAATGGATTCAGATTTTTTAAAAAATATATCTTTATCGATTTCATAGAGAGGAAAGGAGAGGGAGAGAGATAGAAACATCAATGATGAGAGAGTCATTGATCGGCTGCCTCCTGCACGCCCCCGACTGGGGATTGAGCCCGCAACCTGGGCATGTGCCCTGATTGGGAATCAAACCCTGATCAAAAAAGAGTAGGAAAATCACCAGTAAGCCCACCTTCAAGAGACACCCGCTGTCGCTAATGTTAAGATTTACGTGGCTCCACAGGTTGTTGGTGTCCATCAGCTGGGGCTTTTTAGAGTTTGACGTTGGTCCGGGTACTCAGAATTGGCCATTGATGCTGGCAGAGGAGAACAGCCTGGACAAAGTGAGCAGGTTGCATGCCTCTGAGTGGCTTGCAAGTGATGGTAGGATAGGAAGAAGGTGCATTTGCTTTCATTTCAAAGGAAGAATGATTCATTGTTTTTTTTAAGGGCTTGGCAGATGGTGGGGTTTAGTTTATTAAGACACTGAGGCCCTGGGCAGGGAATAGTCTTGGGTAGGGAAACGTTATTTTTGTAGAACCTACTTCTAGATAGATCTGTGGCTTTTGCTAAGGGATCAGAGTGATGACTCTTAGAATTCATCAGATTCTGATCCCTGGTATTGTGGACGTGGATACTGCTGCTTTCCTACTTGCTTAGGAGAACTGCTGATCCCCAGTAGAGCTTGGGAGCAAGTGCTGGGGTGCTGACCAGTTGTACATCATATTGCCTTATCACAGGGAGGGGCCACCCTCTTCCTCTGGCTGTAAGAAGCCCCTTTGTGTGCTTTTCCTTAGGGAGGAATGGGAGCTGCTCTGCTATCAGATCCTGACAAGATCGAGAAGGTAAGTCCTGCATGAGTGAAAGCAGAGGTCCTTAAACATGGAACACTTCCCACTCCTCTCCCCCAGATTTAGTGAATCCATCACTCCACTTGCGGTCTGGAAAATGTGTAAAAGGCTTCCCAGTGGTTTTGACATGCTGCCACATTCAGGCACCCCTGAGCCAGCTTACATCAGCCTTGGAGTTCCTTAGAAGCCCAGGGCTAGGGATATGTCAACTGAGAGCTGGGGTTGGTGGGAGGCTGAGGATTCACTTGGAGCCCCTTCTATATTGCCTCTCTCCCTTCTGAGAAGATCATGAGAGCATAGGCCAGGCTACCTGTGGGTTGTGGACAGGCTCAGTGGCTGTGGGGGTGGGTGAGGGAGGATTGGCCTCCCAGGGACTTGATGAGTACGAGTCCCCTGAATACTGATAGAGGCCACCACCAGCCTTTGAGAACAGGTCAGGCGGGGTCATACGAGGCAAGCTGAAATTAGTCTCCTCTGATCCCCTTCCTTCATTGATTCTGGTGACCAGGTTTATGGGGCTCTGTGGGCAGGTTGGCGATTGCCACCCAGTGTTGTCAGCTGCCAGGGCATGTGGGGATGACATTTTCTGCCACACCATATACACCTTTTACTTTCCTCTCTCAGTTCACCAGCTCTCTTCTTGTTGCTCATCTTAGCTCCTTTGACTTCTTTTCATTCTCCATCTGCACTTCCCTGTCTGGGCTTTAAGCCTCCTAGTGCCTCCTGCAGGCTATAGCAACTTGGGATAAAGTCCCACCAATAAAAGCTGGCACTATCTGTGCTGGCTGCTATGTCAGCAGTCTCCCGTGTATTCTTCCAGCCCCACTGTCTCTGGGATATAGGAAGGTCAGCGTGTTTATGAGCTACCTTTTCATTTTTCCCATGTGCAGACAGGTACATATACTGTATCTATAATGTGCCTATAATGTATCCTCACAGTTTGTACTTTCCAACATTTATTCTAGCATTTATTCCATTTGGTCTCCAAATCCCTTGAAGTAGACAGGGATGACATTTGTTATCTCCATTTGATCAAGAATAAGAAAACTAAAGCACAGAGAGAGAGAAATAATTTGCTCAAGATCATGTGGCGAATAAGCAGGCAGAGATGAGTCTAGAGCCATGGTCTTATGACCTCTACCCCAGCATCAGCGTCCCCTCTCGATGGCATCTCAGGTTAAAGGTGTCGGGCATAGTTTGTAAGTGTGTAGCCACAGGTCAGTAGACACCTGGACTTAGGAACCTGTAGTCAGACACTGCTCTGCAGGATGGAGTGGATGTGGACAACTGTGGGTGGCAAACTCATCACAGTCCTTGGGGGAGGGGCCCCAGTGGGGGTGTTCGCTTCACAAAGTGTGGACACAGGTGTTTTTGTTACCCTCCCGCCATCCAGCTTCTCCCACGCATGCTGTTGGCTCTGCCCTCTCCACTGCCCCTCTTTGGGCACTTTCCACATGTGAGGCAGCAGAGTTCCACCCCACCTCTGAAGCTCAATTCATTCCGCCCTTTCTCTTTTTGGTGGGGTGGTCAGATGGGCCAGGGTGGACTGTGCATGGGGTTTGCCTCAGGGAGGGGAGGATCCAGGCTTCCACAGTGAAGCCAAATAGGACCTGGGAATAGTGGGCTGGAGTATATTCAGGCTCAAACTGGGCTACTGGGCTGAGAGCTTTGTGGGTCCTCTCAGGCTTGGTGTTTTAGGCCCATGGTTCCCTCTGTGGGAACATCTCAGGGCCACCGGCAGAAATTTTTTCAAAATAAGGATGCTTGTTTGGAGTGATGAGCAATTTTGGAAATAGATAGGATGCTGTCTGTTGAGAATTCTTTCTGTCCTTGAGGTGGATAGGGGCAGGGAGAGGATATCAGTATTTTGACAAGCTTCCTAGATAACTCTGGTGGATCCTCCCTGGATTAAGAACCTCAGTTTTAGACTCTAATTCAGTAATACTCTTTCTCTCAGGATTCCCTGGGCACCCCCTCTCCTGCTGCCCAGGGCATCCCCCTTGTGCACACTGTACTTGGACCATGGCTAACAACTGGCAGGGCCAGGACTTGAACTTACTTTTCATTGATTACCAAGCCTAAGCTCTCCCATTCTCCCTAACCCCTTTCCAATAACCAAGGGAGCTTTTCCTGAGTCACCCTGTGGGTCCTGTAAGACAAGCCCGCCTGTGGGTAGATGTGCTGTAATCTGCTCAGATGTGGGTCTGTTGCAGGATCTTTTCCCTACATTCACATCACAGAGACGTGGAATCATTTGGACCTGGGAGAGCTGGGTTGAAGAGAGTTTCATGCTAGAGGCTCCAGTTGCCCTTTCCTCTCAGTGTGACCCTTGCAAGAGGCTAGGGCTTTTGGTTACTAATATCCTTCCTGGTCCTGAACATGCACATGAAATAAACAGAAATACTAAAGAAGGTGCTTAGAGTTATTTGGATAAAATACACCAAAAGGGAGCTCTGCAAAACAGAATTGGATTAAACCAGCTGATGTTACTTAAATCACCAAACATAACAGCACTTGCAAAGGAACCTTCCAGAGAGTGCTGTCAGCTTGAGGGAAAGGACTAGAGTGAAAACTTCTGTTGTGTATCTCAGTGGGTCTGGCAGTCCCCCGTTAAAGGGTAGGTGCTCGGGCCCAGTCTGCCTCCCGGGGCAGCACACGAGGCCTGTTCTTTCCTGGCAGTTTTGCTTGGGCCAGCGGGCCTTGTTTTACCCATTATCTGTCCTCCAGCCTGTCAGCCCAGCTTCTTAGTCTGATGTCTTTTGAGGGGCCTGCCTCATCCTTTCCCTGAGAAAAAGGCCTCCATTGGTTCTTGCAGCCTGGCTCTCTGCTGCCCTCACCTGTCTAGAACCAAGACTGGCAGCAGCCGCCTGCATGTTCCCTTTGCTCTGCTTGACAGCAGCCCAGTTCTTGAAGAGGGCTCTTGGGATCACCTTCCCTCCAACTTGCCTGGCCTTAAATTTCTGGTGAGGGAATGAGATAGCAGTGCCACAGACATGCATTGTCACCTGCATCTCTCTTGATCTCTGACTCTTAGGGAGTCTGGTCTTGCTACCTCCCTGACGCTTTCCTGTATGACTTTCTTGGTCTTTCCTTGAAGTTTTTACAATTACTATGCAAAAGAAACATTTTAAAATATGTTGACTATGTTGTCTTTCCCTTTGCCAGTTTCATTCCTGTATATCTGACTCCTCTAAAGAGTAGGGTACATGAGGATGGGGCCCAAGACCTATAAAGCCTTCCTGCTCCCTCACTCTGCAGATCTCGGAGCAGCACCGAGGGAGCATTGCCTTCAAGCAGGAAAGAAGCTGTGAGCCATGTGTTCTCAACCAGGGCTAGGCCTCAGCATCCTATTGAGGAGAGAGTGTGTTGAACAGAACCTTTAAAAACACATATTCCTAAGCCCTGCTCCTATAGACTCATTCAGGAAAATATGAGATGGAATCTAGGATTCTGTATTTCTTAAAGCGCTCAGATATTTGCCCTGGCAAAGGATCACTGTATTCTATACACAGTTTCATCGTTCATTCATTTACCAAATATATGTACACTACTATGTGCCAGGCAAGGGGCTAGTGTAGTAAAAAGGTGAGTTCCTTCCTTCATGGAGCTTACATATGTATGTGTGCAACAGACATTCATGTGGAAACATACGTGGACATAGACATGCCCCTTCCACTGAGATACACAGGTCTTTAGCAGAAGTAATTAGTACAAGCCATTGTGGTTGTTTGTTCCAGAAGAGGCAGGTGCTCTTGTGTTTTCTCTGCAGATCCTCAGCACTCTTGTTAAAGGGACACGCAGACCTGTGACCTGCAAGATTCGCATCCTACCATCGGTAAGGATGGTGTGTTACATTTGAAGGTCCATTTTCTTTGGGGATGTTTATTTGGGGTGTCAGTAATTTTTGAGGAGCTGAATTAGGTTTGGAGGAGGGGGTAGAGCTGAGTCCACTTTAGGAGCTGGCAGCTGCTCCCTCCATGGCTTCAGTAACCACCTGTGTGGTCCTCTTCCTCAGCTGGAAGATACCCTGAGCCTTGTGAAGCGGATAGAGAGGACCGGCATTGCCGCCATTGCAGTTCATGGGAGGTGAGTGGTTGCCTTACTAGTGACTGACTTGCAGGGATGTCCTCAGCCATCTTTATGACCCTTCACCAGATCCCAGGTGACAACTAAGTTCTCTTCTACATATGCAGCCTACCTCTCCTTAGCTCTTTGACATCCTGGGGGCAGTCAAACCCTTTATGGGCTTGCATTTTTTTAAAATTTCATTCATTGAGCATCTGCTGGCGGTGGGCACTGCACTGAGCTTTAGAGACAGAGACTGAGGAGGAAGAAACAACGCCCCTACCCTCAGGATGTATAAATGGTAGAGATGGAGTGATTTGCTCAAAATTGCATCATGCAGCCAGGAAGTGGTGGAATTAGAACTCTGACTCTGAATCTCATCTTCTTTCCACTACGTTGAGCAATAGCATCTGCCTTGAATGAGCCCAGACAGATTGCTGTTCTTTTAAAGGCACTGCCTCTTTGGTTTGCCCCTGTTGGATTGCCAGCTAACGCAATCACTACTGCTTTAAACAGTCGTTGTACCTGTAGCTGATGCACACTTTGCTCAGAGCTGAGGTGTTGCTGAAAGCTACCCTGGGTTTCCCAGTCAAACTGACTTCCTATGTCCAGGCTGTGCTTTTGTATGGAATCCCAGGTCAGTAGACTTTGTGGTCTCTTCTCTGAGTGATGTTCCTTTTGGATTCAGGAGTCTTGTAGGAACAGCCCATTTTTTTTTGCTACTTATGCCTCTTATAGCATTTTCAGAAAAGGGAACCCAGAACTCCAACATATAAAATAGGAAAGCAGAGCTGTATTGATGGAAGCCAGTAGGGGAAGGTGAAAGGCCACACCCATTTTATACCCTGAGGCAACAGGCTCTGGGCTCAGACTGCTTGGTTTCAAATCCCATCTCTTCAGCTTGTTGGATGTGTATCATTGGACAAAATATTTAACCTCTCTGAGCACCACATTCTGTAATTTCCAGGATTACTAGTAGAAATCCTTTCTACCAGTAGTTGGAAACACTAGGAAGGCAGATTTCAGCGAGTTTAAGGAGGGACTTCTGGCCATCAAAGCTATTGAGAATAGCTAGAATTGGCTGCTGGCAGTGTGGGGAGGTGAAAGTGGAGGCTGGTTGGCCCCTGACCCTTTTTTTGAGGAGTAGAGCAGAGAGGACACACCCAGACAAGACCTGGGTAAAGGTCAATCACCTCTCTTGCTTGTTCCTGAGCATAGCTCAGGACAGGGCTCACCTCAGCATCCCTAAGATTCAGTCTCATTCACAAGAACTTGCAGTTGACCTTGGAAGGAGGGGACCTAAGTTATGGTGCTGCCTCTCCTGCGACTCATTGTGACAACCATAGTCTGTGTGGCCTGCCCTGTCTGCTGGGTCTACCCTGTGCCAGGTGCCTCTCCCCAGGATCAGCTGCCTGACTTGGCCTCAGCATAGGCAGCTGTGTGGGAGTGGCCAGTCTGAGCAGCAGCAGCTGTTCCTAGTCCCTTGGGGAGGGCAGAACCAGGACAGTAGGGGTAGCATTCTTATGGCACCGTCTCTCATCTCTGGCTGAGGTGAGGAGAAGCCAGGGAAAGGCGGCGTGACCTTGGAAGTCAGGCCACCCATATCAACCCCCTGCAGCCATGCCTCATCAGCAGGCCTTCAAGAGCTGGACTTGCCTTCTCAGCACAGACCTATGCTGCTCCTGCCCCTCACAGCATAGCTCATAGAAGCCATCCACTACAACCTAGACCCCTGTCCTTGATGGCCACATGACCTTCATGAAGTGCAGGGTTTGGCAAATTAACCCAGTGTGAACTGTGACATGGCCTTTGGCACTCAGCACTCAGCCTCATCTTTTTTGTTTATCTCCAAGGAAGCGGGAGGAGCGACCTCAACACCCTGTCAGCTGTGAAACCATCAAAGCCATTGCTGAAACCATCTCCATTCCTGTCATAGCCAAGTAAGCCTCCCTTCCTCATCATTGACTTTTGTATGTTCCACTTTCCTCAGAAGGGATTTGAGCGGGCATATATAAAAATGGAATGAGATAGCATTAAAAATTGACCTTAAGGGAAAAGAAAGAAAGGGTGGAATGAAAAATGAAGTTGGTAATGAGGCAGACAAGTGCCTATTGTGTTTCTTCGCCTCTGGTGAGTAGCTGATGTAGGTGTGTAGTAGGCGGGGGCCCAGGGCATTCAGGGCACAGGGAGAGCAAGAAGTTGGCCACTGAAGCAGGCCCAGGGGAAGGTGTTGTCACACCAGAGTTAGGTGTGCACAGTGTAGGGTGAGGAGGCCCAAGCCAGAGCACATAGAGCTAAAGTGGGCAAAAGTAGGTTTACATCTGTAAATACACAAAACAAAGAGTTTATTCTTGTATTATTTATTAATTATTGTATTATTTTCCGTACAAATAACTGTATACCTACTTTTGCCCATCCCTGTATGGCTCAGGAGTCATAAGGTCAGTCACAGTCCAAAGCCCAGACAGGAATTCTGGGCAGCTACGGGACCTGGAACCTAGACTGGCAGGTGTGAGGTACCAATGACCAGCCCAAAGCCTTAGTAGTCAGTGTCCAGTTGCTCCTGGGGAGCTGGCCTGTGTAAGCCATTGGGAAATCCAGATCAGCCCTGCACCTTAGGATGGCACAGAACCTGATGGCAGGATGGGAACAGGGAAGTTCCAAAGCCCTGAAGCCCTGACAAAAGGTATGCCTGACTGGTAGGAGGGAGGGAGAGAGCTGAAGGTGGGGCTGGTAGCCAGGCCTGGCCTTCCCCAGGCAGAGCACTTTACAAGGGGGCCCTTGAGGCTACATGGTGGCAGGAAAGGAAATTGCAACTAAACTGGGCCTCCTTCCTTCCTCTCACAATCACCACTATGTCTGCTCCCTCTCTAGGGTTTTGACCCAGCCCTTAGTGGGCATATAGGTGCGTCAGCCTGGCAGGGGATTCCTGTAATCTCAGTATCCACGTACAGACCCATGTCTTCAAATGTGGGCTGGCTTTAGCCACTGCTTAGGATGAATTGGAAGGAAGGTCAAATCTCAGGGATACCTAAGAAGTGCCAGGCATGCTTCAGGCTGCTTTCTTATATTATCTCCCTTGGTGCTCCTGACCCCTCAGTGGTGGGGGTGTGAGAATCTCCAGGCTCCATAAGTGCTCACAACTGAAGGACTTAGCCAAAGCCACACAGTTAATGGGAGACAGACCTGGGAGTTGCCTTTTTCTGAAAGTGCTGGGATAAGGATGGGGACACCCCCTCATCCCTGTTGTCTTTCAGTGGAGGATCTCACGACCACATCCAAGATTATTTGGACATCGAGGACTTTCGACAAACTACAGCAGCCTCTTCAGTGATGGTGGCCAGGGCTGCCATGTGGAACCCATCCATCTTCCTCAAGGAGGGTCTGCGGCCCCTGGAGGAGGTTATGCAGAAGTACATCCGATACGTACGTCTCTGTACTTTTCTGAAACAAACACTTCTCCCTGCCTGCCACATTCCTGCAGAGAGTGCTTTGGGTGAGCCCCCAGCCACAGCTGCTGGCAGCCCTCGTCCCACCCCTTTTCTTTTCAGTTGTGGTCATGCACTGGGAAGCACTGGGCCTCCCAGGCTGCAATATGGGGAGGCATACCACCTCCCTCCTTCTAAAGCTTCCAAGTTGTGGGGTCACAGCAAGGACCTCTGGATCCAGGGTGCTTCTGGGGCCTCTTTCTCTTTTTCAACCCCCATACAAACACTTGCATGCACAGTGACAATGGGGTCTGTGTCACTGAAGACACCCATGCCAATGGGTTGGCACCAGAGAAGCCACAGCCAGGAAAAGCCATTATAGTTGCTGAGGACAGATTATCTCCATAGAGACTTCTCACCTTGTCATCAGTCAGAATCACTCAAAACCCTTCTCTTGCCCTAGCTGGTTTGGCTCAGTGGTTAGAGCGTCGGCCCGTGGACTGAAGGGTCCCAGGTTCGATTCTGGCCAAGGGCATGCAGGAGGCAACCAATCAATGTGTCTTTCTCACATCGATGTTTCTCTCTCTCTCTTTCTTTCTGAAAAGCAATTAAAAAATATCCTCCGGTGAGGACTAAAAAACAACAANTACATCGATGTTTCTCTCTCTCTCTTTCTCTCTGAAAAGCAATTAAAAAATATCCTCCGGTGAGGACTAAAAAACAACAAAAACCAACCCAACAAAAACCAATCCAACAAAACCTCTTCCCTTGCTAATTCCCAGAATGCTTTAACTCCTTAGAGAATAGCCGAATATTAACCCTCTCCTTAGGAATAGCTTTTTCTTCTCACTGGGAGCTTGATGGTAGTGCCAGGGGCATTTCACTGTAAAGGAATTTTTTTGACAAGTCCGCCAGCCCTGTTTCTTTGGCACAACTCTGGAACTCTGTGGGACTCTGATCAGCTATGCATGTCTACAGGTGGAGATGGTGAATGGTCCTCAGATTCTTCAGTGAGTGGGCCTAAGCCCTCACCCAGAGCAGACTTCTACCCTCCTCTTCAATCCTGGGGCTTACACCCTCCTGGAAGGGTCAAGATTGTCTCAGATCCTCAGACTGCCTATGTTTTCTTCAAGCCATGGCAGTGCCTGGGCAGTTGTGGCTGCCATGGCTTGGTGATGTCCTCAGGGCTCTGGAAACTGGAGATGATAGGAGGCCCTGAGGCCCGTGTCCAGAGCTGGGCAGCCTCTGTCCTAGAGCTTCCCTTGCTCGTTGCTACAGCTGTCATCCCCTTGGTTCTGGGTATCCTTTTGGGCAGGTTGGTGACCACCATACTCTCCAGTGGCCTGAGTTAGCCAAAGGCAAAGGGGGCTTGCTTTGGCCTGGGTCAGCTGTCTAGCTGTTTTGACCAGCTGGCTAGTCTGTAGCAGAGGAGACATGTTCAACTGTGCTGAGCTTGCTCACCAGTGAAAGGTGCTGTTATCATTCCTGCTCAGCCTGACCTGTGGCAGATCTTCAAGAGTGTTTGTTGTCCTGCCTGGCTGGAGTGGCTGCGTTGGTTGAGTGTCATCCTGTGCACCTCTGGTGCCCCCTGGGATCCCCTTTTCCTGCATCAGAGCAAAGCTCAGGCCTCAGAGCCCACCTAGGCAGCAGATGGGCTCATGTTGGTTCTTCTTCCAGGCTGTGCAGTATGACAATCACTACACCAACACCAAGTACTGCTTGTGCCAGATGCTACGAGAACAGCTGGAGTCGCCCCAGGGAAAGTTGCTCCATGCCGCCCAGTCTTCCCGGGAAATTTGGTGAGAGTGGCACTGGGCTGTCCATCTGTCCTTGCAGACATTGCCCAGGCTTGACCATGAGCCCTAAGCTGACTCTACCAGGGGACCATGGACACAGCTTGAGGTGGATGGGCAGGAGTGGGGTTGTGCTGCAGCTTTGCCTCACAGAAGGGGATACTTTCAAAGCTTTGGAACCTTCTGTCCCTGGACTGACCTCGGGTACTACGGCACTAGTAGGATGGAGGAATGTAAGGGCTGAGCTTGGGAATTCCTAGGGAGAAAGGGGTTTTCTTGGTAACAGATCTATCACATGCCATGCCACCAAGACCCAATTGTCAGAAGAGTTGGGGTTGCAGAATGGAACCCCTGGCCTGACCCTGCACCCACACCCATCACTCTGCAGTCTGAGAGGCCACCCTTCACTCTTCTACTCAGGTGGTTGACATTTGGGGCCCATCATAACTTGCCCTAGTGTGTGCTCCCTATTTACTCTTTTTTTAAAAAATCCTCACCTGAGGATATTTTTTCCATTGCTTTCCATAGAGAGAGGAAGGGAGGGTGGGGAGAGAGAGAAACATGGATTTGAGAGAGACACACTGACTGGTTGCTTCCCACACATGCCCCAACCGGGGCTGGGATCAAGCCTGCAACCGAGGTACATGCCCTTGCCTGGAATTGAGCCTGGGACCCTTCATTCTGCGGGCTGACACTCTAACCACTGAATCAAACCGGCTAGGACCCCATTTACTCTTTTTCCCACCTCCACATCTGTGTTCGTACTAGACCTTTGGCCTGAATACTCTCTTCCCCTCAAGTTGGCTGTCTGTATTCTCCCTCCTCTAAAGCAGCCCTTCTGAACCACTCTCACCCCCAGAAATCCATCTTTGTGAGTGTCCTCCAGCCCTCAAGGTGCTTCCTAGGAAAGAAAAGCCTTGCCAAAACCCTCCTCATCCTGGGCTTGTGGTGTTGCTTCTGTCCCTATGCTTAACCAGCTTGACCCAGGTGTCTTGTGAGCTCAAGAGTATAATTTTCAAGTATAACTCTGTAGCTCTGGGTGGTACCTCGATTTAGGTGAGGCCTAACTGCTTGTGGCTGGGGCAGGAAGTAGGGAACCACTCAGTGGTCAGGCCTCCGTCTCTTCCTCCCGTGGGCCCACATGAGGCTGAGGCTCTGCATGCCTCTGGTGCTTGATCTGTGTAGGTCAGCTTACTCACTGCTGGCTGGGGACACCTGCCTGTATGTTCTTCGTTGGAAGAGAAGCTGGGCTTAGATGATGGAGGTGACCTTTAGAACTTTTCCACCAGCCCTGCGTGCCTTCCCATGTCCACTTTCAGGAGCCCATATTCATGGTCCTTCTGCTAGTCCATACTGATCTCAGGGGTGGGTAAAAGCTACCTTCTGATGGCCAGATCCTGGAGGTGTTTTGGTGTTTATGGAGGGGCATATTTCAGTAGTAGGGCCCTGGGATTCTGCAGTAGTTCCCTGGATGCTGGCTCCACTAAGGGGCTTGCCCCACTTGACTTGTCTTCCCATAGTGAGGCCTTTGGCCTTGGTGCCTTCTATGAAGAGACCACACGAGAACTGGACTCCCGGCGGGCAGAGCTCTTGGCCAGGACCCCAGAGGAGGCAGGGGAGCTGGCTGAAGACACCTCTGGTATCATTAAGATGGCTGTCAAGTTTGACCGGTAGGTCTCCAGTTGGCCTCAGCCTGGACCAGGGCCAGTGCCCTTGGGCTGACCCGGCTGGCAAACTGGAGGCTGTACATAGTTAGGAACAAGCTTGGGGACCACAGGTCTCTTTGATTTGGACACTTACCAATTTTCAGCCACCCAAAGAAAGTACTTTGTTGAACATAGTCCCTGAAAGCCCAGGCAGCACTGTCAGGTTTGTGTATATTGTTCCAAGGGTGACTTAACGTCCACATTTTCCCTGTCCCACCCTCTCCCACAACTCAGGTGAGAGGACTTGTCTCCTACTGTTCCTGAAAGCCTGTGCTTTTTCCCTAGCCCCAAGGAACTAGCTGCCTACAAGGAGCTCCCCAATAGCAACAGCAATTCCTGCCCATACCCACTGCCCCTCACCAGCCCTCGGTGTCCTCTCTAGACAGAAGTAGCCTCAGGCCATTATTGCCTCAGGCTGGCTCAGCTTTGATTGGATCCCTCATCCTTGTCCTCTGCAATGTGGTATCTAAGCTTTTCTCAGGTCCCCAGGCCCAGACCAGGAGCCAGTCTTGTCTGGCAAGGGCTTGGGAGAAGGGGCATAGGAACAGCTGTTGGGCAGTCACATCCATGGAGAGCTCCTGGTAGGAAGTTGGAACATAGTGCAGACTGACTCTGAAACCAGAGTCCACTGTGTCTAAAGCAGCAGCGGATCATTTTGACACTCAACAGACATAATTAGGGTGTATTAAGCTAGATCCCTGAGACCTTTGTATGGCCACCTTCATTCCCCACTCCCACTCCCTCCGGATCTTGTCTTGAGAGGCAAACCGGACCTTCCTTCTTGGCTGTCAAAGGATGTTTTCCAGACTGGAGCTCAGAGTGATGGTAGTTCACTTCCTACCCCAATTCCCTAAGCGTGCTGAAGCCCATCTTCCCTTTAGGCAGAACGCAGGTCCCAAGTTGCTGGTGGGACAGAAATAGGTCAGGGAATAGGTATAGGAGTCTTGAAGGCAGCAGCTTTATGTCTCAGTTCCTGCAGCTCCTACCAGGAACTGAGTAGGGTCCCTGCTGAGAAATGGAGTGGTGATGGTGGGTGGGCCCTGACTCCTTCCCCTCCTTTCCCCAGGAGAGCATACTCACCCCAGATCACCCCCAAGATGTACCTGCTGGAATGGTGCCGGAGGGAGAAGTTGGCACAACCCACATATGAAACGGTGAGTTTCTGGCTGTGGCCTGCCCTGCATATAGGCCTACAGCATTCCCACAGCTGTTGCCATCACCCCCAGCATACCCACAGCTTGTACCCTGGACTCCTGCTTGGCTGGAGCCTGGCTTTGCCCTCTGTAGGCACACAGTGGTTACTGGTGGTTGGGCCAGTTGCTGATAATGCCTTCCCTTTGACAGTGGGTCTATTGTCTAAGTTCTGGACTAGAAACTGAACTAGAAACTTAAGGGGTTTCTTGGGCCAGTCCTTGCCAGTGGTATTGCTTAGGGAGAGGAGATGTCTCTGGAAAGGGCCAAGTTGGCTTAGGAAGGATGCTCAAGCCTGAAAGTTAGACGCATTTTTGGACCAGGCCTCAGCTAATGGGGCCCCTCAGTGAAAACTTTGAGCCAGTATTGCTTCACTTCCTTTGGTTCCTATAACCGTGTCTTATTTAGGTGGCTCAGTTTCTTCTAGACTGGACTTCTGATCTCTAAGTTTGTGCCTTCTGGGCTTTGTGTCCTCCTCTGCCAGAGTGACATTTCCAAGGCAAACCTGAGCTCTATTTCCCTTGCTCAAGTTCTCATCAACTCAGAGCATGAGAACCCCCCCCCCCCC